TATTGTAGCTAATACATTGTTCATGAGTTCTTTTGTCTCGACTGACTGTGACTGAGACTTACGTAAACTTCGATACTTTTTCAGATCCCTTGCAGTTATCCAGAGATAAATTCCCCAAACTTACAATTCAAAGCCAAGGTGCCTGCAAGCCACGTTTGCTTCATTCATAGTCCATTCACTATCACATACAAAAAAGTCATTATTTTGATTCACGGGTTTTACTTGAAGCAAATTTGAATCTCCATGGCCCACAGAGACTGAAAATGTTCCTGAAAAAAAAAGAGAAATTAAAAAAAATCTCCAAATAAAATCGTATTATATAGCTGTATCTAGTGGAAAAACAGCACAGAAACAAATCAGGAATAATTCTGTATTGGCAGCCAAAGTTTATATGGAAAGAACAGGAGACTGGGAATCGGAAGCTTCAGGTATTATTCCTGGTTTTTTCTGAGGATTGACTTCGTGTCTTTGAGCCTGCCACTTTTTCAAAATAGACCAGTTTTAGGACAAATGAAGGTGTTGGTTCCTACCATATAGATGGACCTGGAAGTCTACCAAGGAAAAGTTGCACCTTATTAGAATGATAATCATCCAGCCAGTAATGCTTCAAGTGGGACAGCCAGATCCTGCTGCTATTACCTGTGTAGCAAAACTTCCTCTGTTTACGGTGGAGCTAAACTCCTCAGCTTAATTTAGGGAAGCTGGGTGGAGAGCGCACCAGGAACGCATGGAAGCTCTCTGATCCTTTTCAGTGGAGTAGGTAGGGCTGGTAGGGCTATTGCTCCCGTTTCTACCTGATGATTTGAGCAACCTACCAGCAGCAGGGTGACCTGTGCCCATCAATCACTTTATTTTTATGAAAATCAACAAATAGTTCCCATTAAGCATTCTTCTTTTCAGTGACCTCTGATTTTCTGGTTCATGTTCTCACTAGTGTTGAGCAACCTACCAGCAGCAGGGTGACCTGGGCCCGTCAATCGCTTTATTTTTATGAAAATCAACAGATAGTTCCCATTTTCAGTGACCTCTGATTTTTCTGGTTCAAGGAAATGAACAGACTTCCTGCGCTGTAAAGCATCTCCTTGGCCACAAATGACTGACTGATAATACTTTTTGGAAAAGGAGATGTTAATACCTTCAGACATGCATTTTCCCTTGTGCAGGAACTTTGCTTCGGGCCGTTGACACTCGTAGCTCTTTAGGTGACAGTAAGTAATGAAGAACTTTCCGTTGGTAGAACAAACGGAGGAGCCATTCTTTGGGCACTGGTAGGGAAGCTTACAAAGGCATTTTCCCTCCACACATCGTTCCCATGGGTTACAAAAAACTTTCTCACAGGACTTGTGTGTGTATTGGTTGCTCAAGCATTCTTCTATGAGGTACGTGTCCTGCTCAGCTGGCTGGGCAGGCTCAACCTGCTGAAACTGGTTTTCTTCAGCATTAGATGCTGCATTCTGCAACGCACAAAATAAATAAGAGTGAGACTAGGAACTGCACCAAGAGTTCTGCAGATCCCTTTACTGACCTCAACAAAGTGTTCATTCGTAAGCCTTCTCCTGTCTTACAAGAAAAAAGTTGCTAAATCTCATTTATAGTGTTTCTTTCCTTGTCTTTGGCCACCTCATCTGTCTCAGTTTTTCTAAACTTTTTTTTCTTTTCAGATCATTCACCTGGTGTGATCTTCTCTTTTACTGCTCTCCCACAAACCTTATACTCTTTACTCTTCAAACATCAGCTGAAGTGCCCAGCAGATTATAAACATATTTTAAGCCAGTGGTTCATAACACACCACAGCAACAGGATTGTAAGGAAATCAAATCATACAGGGACTTAAACACCAGAAAAATAAATTAAAAAAAAAAAAAAAAAAGCAACTTGTTTTCTTCTGAGACTTTTTTATTGGCTTGGTTGGCTTTGGGTTTAAATAGCACCTGTAAATATTTAAGAACTACTTAGAAGCAGATAAAGAAATCTAAAATTAATGATTTGTTTCCCCGTGTGACTGCTGAAGTAACAAATATCTTAAAGTAATTTGAAAACTAAGTGTCCTTCCTTATCAGCTCTTTTCCTTTTTCATGCATAGCAGTGGATTCGCATGCTGTTGCTGGTCATCCCTGGGCTGCAAGTACAGATTCTGCCCTTCTGTCCCACTGCCTCTCAGTGAGTGACTCTGCACCAGTGTTTCTGCAGCTCCCCGGGGACTTCGTTGCTGCCCGACTGCTTCTGCTTGCTATCATCTACAGGTAGGAAGAACATTGAAATATGAAAACTATATATGGATGGGCTTTGCATAAAAACGGGAGAGAAAGGTTAGTCCTCAAATGTGATTTATCAGCTTTGATCGTGCCAACTGAATCGATAGAGCTGAAGTTTAAAGTTCTGGTGAAGAAATCCTGGCCGTAGTAAAGTCAGTGGGGACGGTGTTGAGGCAGAATCTAATTCAACAAAACCCCTTCCGACGGTTGTATAATCTTATTAAGTTCTTCCTGCTGTTCTCAGGTCAGCCGAATCCAAACTGTGAGCTGGATCCAGCTTGGCATAACTCCCATATTATACTAGGCATTTCTCCTGAACAGGAATAAAAGGTGCTGATTTTTATTTAATGGCTTCTCTAAAAGACTTGGGTCACACCGAACGCTCAGCCCAGATGGGCTTTCTGGGACACTTCTGTCAGGAGAGATTGCACAGCAATCCTTCAGGCAGTCCCATATACCCGTGTCGCCACATTAGAAGACTGTAATCTTATTTCTCAAAAAAAGGTGGGCAGGGAAAATTGCAGCACCTTTCTGTGGTCAACCGTGCTGGCAAATTTGGTTTAGGATAGGGCGATGATTAAAATCTTTTCCAGAAGCCCGTTAGCTTAAACCCCAAATGGAATACATGAAATAGAAATAGCAAGCTTCAAACATTCAAGCTGGGCTGAAACAAAAGGTATGAAACACTAACACTATGAAAGGAAACTTTAAAAAATCAACTGGTTTTGCTTTTATAACGATAAATTGCTTTTTAGATTTTTTTAAAAAATAAATTACTACTACTACAATAAAATAAATTCTTACCTCTGATCCACAAAAACAAAAGAGAAACAAGAATATCAAGAAAACTGGGGCCACTCGCATGATGAAATTTGATCTCTCTTTGTAGACAAAGTGCTCTGTCTGGGATTCTTTTGAATATCAGTTGTTAGATTTGTGTTTAATTTTTAACCATTAGCAAAATATTTTAAAGTGCGTTTAGAAATAAAGTACAGGAGCCTCAACTATTAACTGATAAAACGGATCTCTCCAAAAAGATCCCGCCTCAATTTAACTGGTTTTACTGTAAGCGCAAGATGAGATAACAAAAATAAGGACCTTAAAGTAAATGATTAAAAGGAAACACTTATTAAGGATACACATTTCCTTTCTGTTGCCAGAGGAGACTGGTCGAATCATCACGCTGGTTCTCCTGATTGCAGGCATTCATTTCTGCCAGATTACTCTAAATGTGTTTTTATATAAGAGATAGAGAACAGGTCCTGTGAGGAGAGACTGAGGGAGCTGGGGTTGGAGAAAAGGAGGCTGAGGGGAGACCTTCTCGCTCTCTGCAACTGCCTGAAAGAAGGTTGCACCAAAGTGGGGGTCACTAGGAAAACTTTTTTCACCTAAGGGGTTTGGACTCGATGATCTCTGAGGTCCCTTCCAACCACCACAATTCTGTGATTCTGTTATCAAACATTGGAATGGTCTGCCCAGGGAAGTGGTAGAATCATCATCCCTGGAGGTATTTAAAAGACAGGTAGATGTGGTGCTGAGGGGCATGGTTTAGGGGTGGTTTTGGCAGTGTGAGGTTGATGGTTGGACTCGATGATCTTAAAGGTCCCTTCCAGCCTTGATTCTACGATTCCATGTCTTCGTATATATGGAACTACTCATATCCATGTAACATCCATTATATACTCAGCTGGATTACAAGCTCGTGTTACACCATTTGTATAGCAGGCTTGCAAGTATTGGGCAAATGCTCGAAGTGCTCTTCTGAAAGTGTGTTTCCAGGAGATGTTTAATTAACCCCAGCACACCCAATCCCCCCCCCCCCCCTAAGAAAAAAAAGACCCGCCTGGCAGTCCGGAGGGCAGCAGCAGAGCTGCTCCCCCGCGGTGGGTTTGCAGGCAGAAGCACCAGCTCTTTCTCCTTAGCACAGCTAAGGTTATTCCCACTATATGAGGGAAATGCAACAATAGCCAGATGCAAAAATGCTCACACTGGGATCGAGGAGGAAGCTTATAGAATCATAGAATGATTTGGGATGGAAGGGACCTTAAAGATCATCAAGTTCCAACCCCCTGCCCTGGGCAGGGACACCTCCCACCACACCAGGTTGCTCCAAGCCCCATCCAGCCTGGCCTTGAACCCCTCCAGGGATGGGGCAGCCACAGCTTCTCTGGGCAACCTCTTCCAGTGTCTCACCACCCTCGCAGGAAAGAATTTCTTTCTGGTATCTAATCTAAGTCTCCCCTCTTCCAATTTAAAACCATTACCCCTTGTCCTGTCACTGCACTTCCTGACAAAGAGTCCCTCCCCAGCTTTCTCTTCAGATACTGGGAGGCTGCTCTAAGGTCTCCCCGGAGCCTTCTCTTCTCCGGGCTCCAACATCTCCAAATTCAAGAACCAAGTTAGAAAGGTCGTGTTTTGGTGTGTGCTGAGAGTAGCACAAGTCCAAGAGGTCAGCACCACCACCTTCTTCTGAGCACCTTCAGCTCCTCAGCATGCACAGAGCAGCTCAGGGCCCCCTCGGACAGGCTTAGGGCCCCTCAGACAGGTTCACAACCTCCTCAGGCAGGCTCAGGGCCCCCTCCCCGGCGTCCGTGCTGTCCCCCGGCCCCTGGGCTCAGCCCGACGCCAGACCCTAACACCGGGTCCCTCAGGGGAGGGACAGGAACGCTTTGGGATCCTTTTGCGACAGTGCCGGACGGAGGTGCCGCTTCACTTACGGCAGGCAACCTCCTTTCCGGCGGTGGGGGCGGATTCCCGGTGGCGGCGGCAGCGGCGGGGACGGCGCGCACGTGGAGGTCGGGCTGGGGAGGCGTGAGGGGAGGGGAACGGGGTCCTTAGCGGCCCTTGGGGGTTCTTCAGCGCCCGCCCCGCAGCCCCGAAGGGCTGGCGGCAGCCGCAGCACCGAGGGAGGCCCGGGGGGTGCGGGGGAGGTGGGCCTTGGCGTGGGTCCCCTTGCCCATGCGGCGGCCCACGGGCCCGGTGCGGCCCCCGGGGAAGGCGCCGCGGTTGTGGTGTCTCGCTTCGTGCCGCTCCTTGGAGGGGCTACACAGCCTCCGCCTGGGACCGGGGGGGTCTCGCGTTCAGCCCTCATACGTGGGGAAAAGGTGCCGGCCCTGCCAATCGGTTTTGACAGGTGGGCGTTGCGGTGGGTGACATTTTAGCTGTAAAATTGATTTTTCACGTGCCTGCGTGTCTTTCATAGAATCATAGAATGGTTTGGGATGGAAGGGAACTTAAAGGTGACCGAGTTCCAACCCCCCTGCCCTGGGCAGGGACACCTCCCACCAGACCAGGTTGCTCCAAGCCCCATCCAGCCTGGCCTTGAACCCCTCCAGGGATGGGGCAGCCACAGCTTCTCTGGGCAACCTCTTCCAATGTCTCACCACCCTCACAGGAAAGAATTTCTTCCCAGTATCCAATCTCCACCCTCTTTCAGTTTAAAACTGTTACCCCTCATCCTATCACTACACTTCCTGACAAAGAGTTCCTCCCCATCTCTCCTGTAGGCCCCCTTTAGGTACTGGAAGGTTGCTGTAAGGTCTTCCTCTTCTCCGGGCTGAACAACCCCATCTCTCTCAGCCTTTATTGATAGCAGATGTGCTCCATCCCTCTGATCAGCTTTGTGGCCCTCCTCTGGACCCGTTCCAACAGGTCCATGTCCTTTCTGTGTTGAAGGCTCCAGAGGTGGACACAGTGCTCCAGGTGGGGTCTCACAAGAGCAGAGCAGAGGGGTAGAATCGCCTCCCTCGAGGTGATTTTTAGGGAGGACTGAAAGAGCTAAATGTTAAATTAACAAACAAGGCCTTCGGGAGACCTTCATTTGTACACCAAATCAAATGTGAAGTATATTTTACTTTTTAAACAGCTGATTTTTGTCCACTGTTTAGGAGGTAGTAGAGAATGTCTTTTCGTGGCCGAGGAGGTGGAGGAGGAAGAGGAGGTGGCTTCAATCGTGGAGGAGGTGGCGGTGGTGACAGAGGTGGCTTTAATCGTGGTGGACGAGGCGGCTTTGGACGGGGAGGTGGACGAGGAGGCTTCAACAGAGGCGGATATGACCAGGGGCCTCCAGAAAGGGTAGTTTGTAAGTTGCATGAAAAGATTATATTTGTTTAATTTGGAACGACTGCTCCAGATCTTTAGCTTGTTTGTTCTTTATTTCAGTATTGGGAGAGTTCATGCATCCCTGTGAAGATGACATTGTTTGTAAATGTAAAACAGAAGAAAACAAGGTGCCTTATTTCAATGCCCCCGTGTACTTGGATAATAAGGAACAGATTGGCAAAGTGGATGAAATCTTTGGACAGCTGAGAGATTTTGTATCCTTTAAAAAAGAAAGTGTGATGTGCACTATTGGCTGATGGATTACTGAGTGGATTTTCTGTAGGATTTTAAAATAGTTCTAGGCTTGGCTACCAGTTAGATGGGAACGGTCCCAAGTCCAGCTGCAACTGTTGGTCTCAGTAGGTGCCTCATTCACATTAAGTGTCTGTGATTAAGTTTCTATCTTAAAGTTTTTTCATTATGATGAAGTACCTTATGTCAGGCAGAGGTTTTCAGTTGGTACCAGTACTGGCAGATGTCTTTTGTGTCTATGGTGGTTCAAGATGTTACTTTTTCTAGCTACCTGACCAAATTTTCTGCTATACTCACCTACAGAGTTGGATCAAGGGAGCAGGATTTTTTTGTTTGTTTTGGTTTTGTGGTTTGTTTGGGTTTTTTTGTGCACTAGGGGACCTTGCTCATGCTGCAGCTTATTACTTAATTATAAAGGTGTGTTTCTGCTAGGAAGTCCTATTGCTCATTGTCCAGCATATTACTTAAACTGCCAATAAAGTGGGGCTGTGCTAGGATGTCCTCTTGCAAAGCAGGCTTGTTGAGACAGAGGTGCTGGGTCCATTCTGTTGTCATTGCTGGATTGATAGAATCCATGACAAAAGCAGAACAGCTGGGTGAGTAACCCTGTCCCTGCGTTGGTTGGTTGAGCATCAGTAACTACCTGCATGCATTTTCTTCTCCCACATCATTAAACGTGAAGTAAAATGTGCAGGTTCAAATCACTGTCAGGCTCTGAATGTGTTAACCTGCAGATTTACTTTTTGTATCAGAATTACATGAATTTCAGAAACTTGTTTTCTTCATTCAGTAATGTGTTAAGAAAACGTGTCAGGAGGTGTTGTCTCCACGGTTCCCCGTTTAATCTCAAGAGTTAATTAAGCAGAGTTGGCCAGCAGCTCTTTCGGATCTTAAGAACTGTATACCAAAGTCCTTGCGTATTGGAGAGCCAATGAATTCAGAAAAGACCTCACTGTGGGATGAAGCTGGGCATGTGGTGGGTCCAGCAGTCCCTGCTGGCTCTTACCTTTCCGCAGCCCAGCACTTGTACCACCCACCACCAGCAGCAGCAGCACGAGCAGAGCCCCTGCAGCATCTAAATTGTTCCAGATATGCCTTGAGGTCACCCTGGAGCTAGAGGAGTTGTCACTTGCTATGCAAATTTGCTTCTTTGCAATTATGTTTTTAGGTGCTCTTACCACTGGAATGTTCTTCCTTATGCCTTAGTACGTGGAAGGAAAAAAGTATTTAACCAGAAAATACTGTCACTGTGAAAAAACCCTGAGAAAAACTGGAAATAGTTTCTCCCGATCTTTTAATTGTAATTTTTCATTCGTAGTGATGATGTTCAGCTTTGTTTAGAAAATACTAATTTAGAAAATGTCTGAATGTGCCTTTCATATAGTAATCAAAATTGCTATCTCTTCTATTTTATTCCTGCTGTGTTCCTTAAAGAAACTAACAGTATTTTTCAGTGAAACTGTCTGAGAACATGAAAGCCTCTTCATTTAAAAAAATGCAAAAGGTTAGTCAATTTCAATAAAAGAGTTCTACTGTATGTCATCAATTAGATAAATCTACTCTGTTATCAGTTAAAAAAATGCAAAAGGTTAGTCAATTTCAATGAAAGAGTTCTACTGTTTGTCATCAATTAGATAAATCTACCCTATGTTATCAGATAATAAAGACTTTATTAACTTTAAAAGCTAGTTGTTCTTTGTAAACATAAGCATTCATTTCCTCTTCCTTTTCACTTTTGTATCTGCCATATTCTTCCTTCTCCTCTCTCTGCAAAAAAAAAGATGTAACAAATGAAATCTGGCAAGTATCTATATTTTAATAACCTTATAACACTGTGATTTATTTTTTACGTGCTTGCTTTATTTGGCTATTTAGAGAGGACAATTTGATATAGAGGGTTAAGACCAAATTATGGATATTTGTAAAGCGAGATATGAATGTGTTCTGTAGAGTTGGTATTTTCAAAACCTAATGAAACTCTCTTCCTACAGTTTTACATTGATCCAGCAAAACTGCTACCCCTTCAGAGATTTTTGCCAAGGCCTCCTGGAGAAAAAGGTGCTCCCAGAGGAGGTGGTAGAGGAGGACGTGGTGGTGGACGTGGAGGAGGAAGAGGTGGTGGTAGAGGTAAGATCCCAAGAAAGAAAGCTGCAGAATGTTGAGGTATTTTGGTGGGGAGTGGGTTGTCGGGTTTTGTGGGGTCTTTTTGAGGGGGTGGGGTGGTTTTTTTAGTGTTTAGTGGGGTTTTTTTGGTAATACTGCAGTTGAATACCTGAATATCGATTGCCCATCCCAAGCAGTGGTCGTGGATCCCTGCCCCACAGACAACCCCCATATGTACTGAGGGTGATGTCTATGGTCTGGTTATAACACTGTGATTTATTTTTTACGTGCTTGCTTTATTTGGCTATTTAGAGAGGACAATTTGATATAGAGGGTTAAGACCAAATTATGGATATTTGTAAAGCGAGATATGAATGTGTTCTGTAGAGTTGGTATTTTCAAAACCTAATGAAACTCTCTTCCTACAGTTTTACATTGATCCAGCAAAACTGCTACCCCTTCAGAGATTTTTGCCAAGGCCTCCTGGAGAAAAAGGTGCTCCCAGAGGAGGTGGTAGAGGAGGACGTGGTGGTGGACGTGGAGGAGGAAGAGGTGGTGGTAGAGGTAAGATCCCAAGAAAGAAAGCTGCAGAATGTTGAGGTATTTTGGTGGGGAGTGGGTTGTCGGGTTTTGTGGGGTCTTTTTGAGGGGGTGGGGTGGTTTTTTTAGTGTTTAGTGGGGTTTTTTTGGTAATACTGCAGTTGAATACCTGAATATCGATTGCCCATCCCAAGCAGTGGTCGTGGATCCCTGCCCCACGGACAACCCCCATTTATGCACTGAGGGTGATATCTATGGTATGAAATATTCCTTTGACAGCTTGTCCTGTCTGTGCTCCCTCTCAGCTTTCATGGGGAGATGAAAATGTCCTTGACTAATGCAAACATTACTTAGCAACAGCTAAACCAGTATGTGTTATCAACATTATTCTCATACTACATCCAAACCACAGCACCTACGAGGAAGAAAATTAACACTCTCCCAGCTGAAGCCAAGACAATGGCTCAATGGAAGAGACAGTGGTATCTTTCTGGTGGCAAGACGTAGGTTTCTGTAGTTAGCTAAATAACAGTTCCAGAGCATAGGGAGGAGAGTATAACAAAACCAGAAAGCGTGACTACTAATCAAATTTGTGGTAAAAGGTTGTAGTTAGTACACATTTAAAAATGTCAGTGAAAGCTGTATTTTTGCTATGTTCTAAAAGCATAGTTTGGAAAGAATATTTGAAATGCTGTGTTTGAGAGAGGGGCAAATGACCTGGTAGAGGTTTGAGAGAGGGGCAAATGACCTGCTTTTTAAACATCAGCCTGGGGAAAAGGAGGCTGAGGGGAGACCTTACCACTCTCTACAACTCCCTGAAAGGAGGGTGTAGAGAGGTGGGGGTCGGTCTCTTCTCCCAGGTTACAAGCAGTAGGACAAGAGGAAACGGCCTCAAGTTGCACCAGGGGAGGTTTAGATTGGATATTAGGAAAAATTTCTTCACCGAAAGGGTTGTCAAGCTTTGGAAGAGGGCGCCCAGGGAAGCGGTTGAGGCACCATCCCTGGAGGTGTTTAAAAGATTTGTGGATGTGGCACTTAGGGACATGGTTTAGTGGTGGACTTGGCAGTGTGAGGTTAACAGCTGGACTCGATCATCTTATAGGTCTTTTCCAACACAAATGATTCTGTGATTCTATGATGTACCCCTCAAATAAGCTTAGGATTAATTTTTTCTTAAATTTTATTTTCTTCCCTTTTCTCCCTACCTTGCCCCTGTCTGTGCAGCGAGGAACAAGTATTTCAAAGTTTTTTGTTTTGTTTATTTTAACGTTCTGTTACATTGCAGTTATGTAAGAATTATTAATTAATAGTTGTGATTAATTTTTTGTGCTTGTGAAAGAAAGTTACTGTGGAGTTTTGTTAGTGTCTTTAGTATTTTGGACATTGTATATCAGATATTAAAGAATACCTAAGATGTGCAAATGGTCCCTAGAAGAGATAAAGTACTACTGATTGATCCAGCAATTGGCTGTTTCTGGGTTTTTTTGTTGCTCCTTTCCTTTCAGAGGCTGTCAATGAAATAAATTGTTATGCATAACAAAGAATTTGTATCCTCTTCAAAGTGTAATTTCTTTCCTATGCTCAGGAGGATTTGGAGGAGGAAGAGGTGGAGGAAGAGGAGGAGGAGGAGGATTCAGAGGAGGAAGAGGCGGAGGAGGAGGAGGATTCAGAGGAGGAAGAGGTGGTGGAGGAGGCTTTCGGGGTGAGTGTACGGTTTTTATATTTCAGTAATAAGAATAGCTCCTGATTTTTAAAGCTTTTCAATGTTAAACAGTATTTTTTAATCTCTTATACATAGTTTTATTCTAAAAGTTCCTGTGCATCGCAGTAGCTTAAACTGAAGCACAAGATTCTGCACTTTTTGGTGCTTGTGTAAGACCATGCTAGTTTTTTGCATTCAAAAAGGACTGTGAGATCACATAATGATGATAAATTATTTTATCGAGTCATTTAGTGTTACGTATATAATTTATTTGCTTTAAGTGCGTCTAAGATGTGATTTTTTGGGTGTATTTTTCTTCCCTCTTAAAATAGGAAAAGGATATTAAAAATGGAGCCACAAGTATCTCCCTGCTGTCTTACTGTGTCATCTGAAGAAGTGAAGAACATGGAAAAACTTTTGTAAAGGAACCTGAAAAAGTTCTTTTTATAAAGAACTTGAAGCTGTAAAATGACATTTAATGACTGTTGGTCAACACATGAGGAGAGCGTAGCCCCAGGCGAAGAATTGAAGACTGCTCAGAATGTACTTGAACTTCTTTAACTAAGCCAGGATTCAACTTTATTCTTAAACTGTTTCTGACAAGTGACATCGTCAATACTTGACTTCATGTTGGAGTTTGGAGTAAACAATCAATTGAAACGTTTGTTTTTAAAAAAACCCTACGGGTTCACTACGTGCGCATTTGTCGGTATGAACCTGTTACCTGTGTGTGACTGATACCTAGTTCTCATCTTCTTTTTATATAGAATTTTCTGCATTGCTCTAAAGTGGACATGCTGTTCAAGCAACCTTTGTGAACCTTTTTTTACAAACTAAACTTCAGAATTTCGTGTTGATAGAGTTTTTTTTTATACATAGTAATGTATAAAAGGAAAGGAAGAGAGCAAAGGCTGTTTTGTGGATTTTTCTGTATAGATCTCAATGAAAGCCAAAGGCATTAAGACATGTTCTTCTTAGAAGACAAAGTTAATACTGTTTTCAAGTCACCTAATTGTATATAATTAAAATTGCTAAGGGTTTTTAACTGCGCCCACCTCTCCCTCTTACCCTGTTTCTCTTGAGGTTTCTGTGTCCTGGCATTGCCCCTCTGTGGTGCTCTGAGCTAGTGTAGGGCTATGATTAGTGAGCCCATCATGGGGCTCCTCTGCACACACTGCTTTCAGTTAAGTATTGCTTAAAAAAGACACAAAAAAAGCTGCACAAGTCTTTGGTCTCTTTAATGGGATGCATTATGAGGGTTGTTGAAAAGCTAGTAACTGCCTCCTCTTAAGGATGGAGAAGAACAGAGTGCCTCTCTATTCTTCAGCTGTGGAAATAAAGTAAGAATTATTTTATTCCCTGAATTTCATCCAGAGCCAGGAGTCCATTCACAGACTGTCGTACCAAGCGCTCTTGAAAGGGATCTGTAGAATAATCTACATGAAAGTATTTTGAACATCTTGTTCAATGTGGAAAGAAGTACGTTTCAGAACTGATCATACTGTTATACTTGTTAATTAACGAATGCAATAGCAGGCAAATGAGTTATATTAGCCTTATGTTTAACAAAGAAACGGGTAATTTGTCAGTGCCAGGATTGGACAGTAACTAGTCATCTGAACCAGTTTGAATAGTCTCTGGAGCAAAACTTGAAACAAGGGAGCAAAACAAATGTCCAAGAGTTCAGTGAAGTCTGAACAGATGCTGCGCAAGATAACAGATTAAAATGTTCTTAAGTCTTAAAAATGCAAACCAAAAAACACTGGAATTTGTGCTAGATCTGCTTTTGTGAGAAGAAACTGAGTCCCCTGTTCAACCGCAGCACAATCAGGAATGGAGGGATATGGATTGTTTTTCTGATATTGCTACAGACTTGGCTTTACCCAGGTCAGTTAAATCCAGACCTCTGAAGATGTTTAGACTTTTGTTGCTGTGGATTGCCAGGTCTAAGCGAGTTAGGGCTCTGACTTGAGGCATTGTAGAATTGCCCTTCAGACAAAATCCTATGGAAGACGTTGGATCTCTGGCACACCACGTGGCAGTTGAACAACACCAACCTGCAGTGGCGCTGGACCTGTCACTACTTTTGTCATACTTGTAATTGCACCCTCTGCTGTGTTGTATTTCTTCACTGATGCTTCAGTAGCTGGATCTGGGTAGCCGAGTTAGATCTTTCCTTATTCTTCTGGCTTTGGAAGACTGATACAACACAGTCCTCACTCATACACCTCTGCTTTGCTATTCACACTGCATGCTTTAGGGACATATTTTCTCCCAGGATATCAGAAGACTTTGCTGCCATCACCTTTACATTTCACGATGTGACAGCTGGTGTTTCAATTCCATGAAGTACTGTCTTGCAGCCGAGGGCAAGAAGCCTATGCTTTGATTCTCACAGCAGATGGAGCAGTGAGTCAGCCTGAAGCTGTTGCAAGGCCAAAGCAAAGACTTTTCTGTTTGTGTGCAGAGGAGATTAAGAACAATATCCATTGCAGCTTTAGAGGGAAGATTGGCCTCTTGATTGCAATCCCAGCTGAGAAATGCGTGAGGAGCATTATGGCATGCCCGACGGATACAAACAACGTTGGATGGGATTAACACAAATATCCAGGGTAAATTTACAATCTTGGATTTTTGTGGAGGTTGCAGGATGTTCAGATGCTGATGGAAGAACGTCCTAGTGATCAGGTGTGGAATGAGCTGCCATATGAGGATGTGGTATCTGGAGATGTGGTGATGTCTTCCCTCCCTTTCTTCTGGAGAATAATGGTGTTCAGTTGTGGCAGGACCCATCCTATCCCTGTTCTGCCTTCTCTGTGCCATGGCATGACCCTGCCCTTCTTATGCAAGTAATTGCATTAATATAATATTAATAGATGAAAATTCAGCGTCTTAAAAAAATTAAGACAACGTGTCTTGTCTACAGTGTAATGCTGCGATGAACTAAAATACAGGTTCCCTAATTTTATATGTCTCCTCCATCCCTACCTTGAACTTTTAATTCGAATCTTACCTGTGATCCTGTCACCGTGCTCCTCATCCTCGTAAGTGAACGGTTTGAGTTTTGTGTATGAGCTTGCAGATACCCGAGGCTTTTTCTGCAGTCAAGAGGAAAGGTGGGCTCCCCAGCCCCCTGGCAGAAATGTCAGTGGCACTGTAGGCTCTCAATGGCACTTTGGTGCACACCTTTTAAAAATGGCAGCTGGTAAATCACTCGTGTCAGATTGCTTAGAAGTATTTACGAAACCTTCAGCCTTTTGTGCTTCCACACTAAAATTCTGATTATTTTTTTTTTTCTATGTGGGATCTACTTTGTGTTGCAAAGCTTAAATTGTTACCCGTTGAGAATGGCTTTAGTGCCCCTGGGTTTCTTTTTTCTCCTTGTGTTTTGTGGAATTGTTGGGCTAGAATGCTTCAATATGGCCCATAGATTTGCCATGTTGCTTTGACAGAAATTTGATGAAGTCCAGAAAATAATTGGGCTATTTTAATGTATTATGTCTGCAGCACTGGCTGTTGAAGAACAGAAAGGATTTTCTCTAGCAGAGACACTAAGCTACGGATGTTTGCCTCAAGCAATGCTGGATAGTCACAGACACACCGCTGCAAAGGTGTTTGCAGTTGTGCAAAGCATTGTCTTGGCAAGAAACCACATCATCCCCTTTTAAAAAAAAAAAACAACATAGCTACGACATGAAGTATGGCAAGTAAAAAAGCTTTGCTGATTCATATCTTTTTCAGGGTGTTTCCTTCAGTCAGCTGAGAATCTCTTTAGTTCAGAGTGAAGCTTTTCTAATCAACAGTTTAAATATAGTAAAAGTTTCAGGGGGAAGGAGTAATTGATTAATTTATTTTCCATTGGGGATGAAGCATTTGCATGTTCTGAAAATAAGATTAAAGGGAAGTTCTGCATTATAGAGGCCTCTGGTGTTGATGTGCTTAATAAACGTGGGAGGGTTTGGTTTTGTTCTGGTTTTTTTTAGCGGTTACCACTGGAAATAGGAAAGAGGTTTTGTTTGGTTTGTTGGTTTGTTGGGTTTTTTTTAATTTTTAAATTCAAACGGTAAGTTTCTCTACTCTTATCACTTGTGGATTAAAGTACACTTGAACATAACTGGAAGCAACTTGCCAAACCTTGTGATGAGTTTTGCATTGCCCCGTATCTATACAGACACTTACAAACTGGAGAATGGACTTGAATAGAAATTGCATTTTGTTGCTACTGATCTGCAACAAGCAGGAAGGAAAAACATCACTTGAGGTTCTGTAGAGCCCTGTTGACACAAGTGATAATGTCTGTTATTGGAGGGTAAAAACAGCCTGAGGTTTTTTATTTTTATTTTTTTTTCTTATGCCATGCCAGTATTAAAAAGCAATGTGATAAGCCATGTTGTATCTGGCTTAGGAGCTGTGGTTCCAGCTTTCTGGATTATTTGTGTACTTTAAGTCTTTGCTTCATCTTTATTGGCTTTGTTCTAGAAAAGATTACTTTTAGGTTAATGGTAAGTAATGTCTGCCTTTAATTTTGACTTTTTTCTCGCAATTCCTGTTGCTGTAAAATTAGCCAAATGTAAAAGAAGAGGAGATGGAGAAAATGTGATGGTACATAGGATGGACTGCACATATTAGAAAATTGCATTTTGACCAACAAGTATGTATAAAGTCTATATGGTCTCATTAACTGCTCCTCTAGGTCTGGAATCCTATCTGAATATAAATACTAATGCTTTGCTTTCCCGAGACATTCAGCATTTCAAACTCTGGCTTCTGTGGAAGCTGCAAGATCTGAGATGCTATTGAAAATCTTGCCAAAGTTTCAGGGGAGGAAAGCAAAGAGATCAAATTATCACTCTCCTTTTCTCTCTGGAGGCAGTACTGTGGGGCATTAGGGAAGTGGCTTCATTGCCAAACAGATCATCTTTCCTTTCAGAACCCTCCCACCCTGTTCCTGCCTAATCCTCTTCTGACAGGAAAAATGCTGTAATAACACAAGTACCCGGAGAATTTTTAAGAATGAATGTAGATCTGTGGCATTAAAGAAAGTGTTTGCTGGTAGAACATGGTGACACGTGCTCATCTGTAGTAACGACGACTAAATGTCATGGAAAATCTTCTTACCTTGAGATGCAGTTGGGTGAAAGACGCAGGATGTCTGAGGCGTGGGAGGGAATGCTCTGTGACTGTTCCATGGATTAGAGAAGGGAGAGCTCTTCAGGTATCCTTCCTTTCTATGGGATGGCCTTATTCCTTGATGACACCCCTGTCACTACACCTTATTGCTGCTCAGAAGACACAGCCCGAGCCTAGGAGCTGCCTGTGAACCACAGGCAACTGAAGCACCACTGGTTGCTCTCATCCTTCTCACTTTTATACCCAGTATGAAACTGTACCAAAAACTGGTGGGAAACACCTTTGATAGACTTCAAAGTATGTATCAGCTTATACTGAGACTGTATATAAGCCCTTTGGGCAAGGGTTTATTGCAGCTACTATTTATGCAGGATTTTGTAAAAGATGTTTATTTTGGTGGGCCGCTACCTCAACATTGAAGAGAAGAAAATGTGAGCTTCTGCTTCTTGAGGTTTTGGAAAATGCCTAATACTTTTCTGTCCAGTAACATGCTTAGGAAAAATTGCCCAAAATAAGCTTATGTGTGTGTGTTTGGGAGAGGGAGGGTGTTCAGACTTTTCAACAATCAATTCAATATTCAACAATCATTTTCTGTAGACTGGGCTATTTTAAAAATGTAGCAGTTGAGTTTTCTGAAAGTCATGCTTCACTTCAGAAAATACTAGACTGTGTTATTCTTGTGTCTGTGTCAGCTTCAGAGTTTAAATCATACTAAGAATCTTGAAGAAGCGGGTTTTTAAGGATTTGAAGGGGTGGACTTTAGAGTAAGCGTATCCTGCTTTTTAAAGAAATTTATGTTGGTGTCTTTACGTTGTGCTGTGGTTTTGTGTGTTTGCTGTGATGATGGGAATTACTTCCAAACCAGGCTGATGACCAACTGACCTGAGCCAACTTTTGTTGAGGTTTCCGAAGCGTTGCACAAGAGGTTTGAAGGAGAAAGTTTGGGGGCATGTGACAGTTAATCTCTTTAGCAGTAAGAATGAAGTTTAAGCATACTTTTGGAAATGTACTCAGTTCTGTGCTGCTCTTTGTTTTAATTAACAATCTCCTGCATAGATTGGGAGTGTAAACTTCTTTGCACTTTAGTCCAGTTAAATCGTGCTTGGAGGCTGTCAGTGGTGGGGGGAACTCACCCCACCTCCCTTTTTTTTTTTTTAAATTGTTCCGTTGAATAATGAAACAATTTGCCTGACAGGGTTTTGTTGTTTCGTCGTCCTGATGAATTATGGCAGAGGACAGAGGACAGTCTCTTTTGCCCAAAATGCATTGGAATGATTCATCCAATTCCTCAGGAGGTGGCAACGAAGCTCATTCAGCCTTTACACAGACTGAACACAACATAGTCGCAGCTTACTTAATAACAGCAGGTATGGGCACTGGAAAATTGTTCTGTAACTTTTTCAAAATAGAACTGTAGATCTGAATGCTCATTTTTGTGTAGTAACAGTGATGGCATTTCATTTTCTATTACACAAATATCTGTTGGCTTTTCTCCATAGCTTACTGACGAGCTGGCAATCGGCAGGGTGACTGAAGTGTGCAGAAACATCTGAAGCGTGCAGAAACATCTAAGTTTTCTGCTCTATATTTGAAGGCAGTGTTGTGTCTCGAAAAAAAAAAAATATATATATTTTGTTGATACGTAATTATAGAAGAGAGTGAGAATTAATTTCTGCCAGCTTGCAAAAGAGCTGAAAATAGGACATAGCTGTCACATCTTGCATTTTTCTACGATGCTCTCAAAGCTATCTTGAGATTTCTCCTGGGCCACATGTTCATAGTAATATATGTGTAGTCTGAGCATGTGAGCGGGTGTCTGTTGGGGGGATGTAAGGGGAAGGGTTGGAATGTGACTTGGAGGGAGGGAGCTGGTCATTAATCAGAGAAGAGCAGACTCCAGTTGCAGCTGTATTTTTTACCGATGACACATGTTAGAAGAAGCACGCTGGAAGGCTTGACATCGTGTTCATTCCCTGTGACTGCAGTGGCTTTTGGCTAAAATGGAATGATTATGAAATTATTATTATTTTTCCCTTGAAAACGTTCTCATTGTTATAACCACAACTGAGTCAGTGATGTTTTTCTGCAGCATTGAGTGCTATAGCAATGAAATATCAACTTGACCAAAACCTGAAACATACCGTGTTTAAAAACAGATTTTCTATGCCTTTATTATGGAAAATTAAATCAGTTTATAGATCCTTTATTCATAAACTGTACCATACATTTTCTATGTTATAATAAGCTTTTAAAATACTTCAAAATATTAACATACCTCAGGTTTATATGAAATAGTATTGAAGATAGTCACGTTTTATTGAGCATATCTGTTTGAAATGGTATCAAATTGCTATTCTGGTATAGAGGGTATTTTTGAATGCAAAGGCAGTAATTTCAGCTTTTTAGAGAAATTGGTAGAAGAGCTACACAGATCAATAGACTTATTAAGAAGCTGTAGAGATGGATGATGGTCATGTATTGGAAGGCTAGATACAGTCTGCAGTACTACCACACTATTTCAAGGTAGCTGAACCTATTAAGGGCTGCAAATATGCATGATACTTGTTATATTTTAATTAAAATTGATTACATTGTATGTAACAAGATGGTCTTTTCGGATACTTTGACTACCTGGTGTTAGAGATCAAAGTTATCATAGGTAATCAATGGGATTAGCTAGAGTCAACCCAGATCTTCTTCCTTAATCTTGCGTGGAAATTAAATGTCTTTGGAAAAAAAAAAAGTTGGATTACTTTCTGGTGACTTTTTTTTGTTTTCTTTTTTTTTTTCCTTATTATAATTGAGGGAGTCTAGTAAATCTTTCACCTGTAGCTTGGACTTTGCTTTTGTAATGAGGAAAGTTTTTGACAGTAAGGTCTATAACATCTTTGAAAGTATAATTGTTTGCTTTGCAAACACCTTACTGCAGCAAATCTCACATCTGGAAAATTTAAGCTGTGTTAATAAGCAGATGTCTGAGAAGAATAAAGTCCAGCACTCATCATTATGCTGCTTTTTTAAAGGTTTGAATTCTTTTCCCCTTTGCTTTCTGAGGAAGAGGAAATTGTTAAGTACTGCAGTCTAAGGTGGTCAGTATATTCATTTTAGTGATGACAACAGGGATACTTGGGCTGCAGGGAGCAATACTGAGTCATGGATATCCTTCAGCTTATAATGGTGAAATGCTCTGGTATCATTTAAAAATGCCAACTTCCATGTTAAACACAGATCTAACTGTCATTGTTTTGATGCCACTACCCATCTGTCTTGCTTAACTCTGGCAGGGCTTGTATTTGCATTTGGTCTGCCCTTAGTTTTCATTGCTTCCCTGTGAAGAAGGAAAATAAGAAATTTTTCTGCTCTTTATCATGTCATGAGGTTTTTATCTTCATCCTCACAAAACTGCAAGGTTTAGTTAAAGAAATACGGTAATAGTCATCTAACCCTATGATGTTTCACAGGCCAAGGGGCCACATCCATGTGCTTCTTCTGAATGACACGAGCTCATCCCAGCTGATGATTTCACGTTACTGAAAGTCGTGGGCTTGGTCTACACTCACTGCCCTCTAAATCGTAGAATCATTTGGGTTGGAAAAGACCTTTAAGATGATTAATCGAGTCCAACCATTAACCCAAGTCCACCACTAAACCGTGTCCCTAAGTGCCACATCTACAAATCTTTTAAACACCTCCAGGGATGATGACTCAACCCCTTCCCTGGGCAGCCTTTTCTAATGCTTGACAGCCCTTTTGGTGAAGAAATTTTTCCCAATTTTCCAACTAAACCTCCCCTGGTGCAACTTGAATCCATTTCCTCTTGTGCTATTTCTAGCTTTTCCCAATTTTCCAACTAAACCTCCCCTGCTGCAACTTGAATCCATTTCCTCTTATCCTATTGCTAGCTACTTGGGAGAAGAGACTGTCCCCCACCTCTCTACACCCTTCTTTCAGGTAGTTGTAGAGCACAAGAAGGTCTCCCCTCAGCCTCCTTTTCTCCAGGCTGAACAATCCAGGCTCCCTCAGCCGCTCTTCATAGGACTTGTTCTCTAGACCCTTCGCCAGCTTTGTTGGGCACTGCTAAACTGCGGCCTGGAGAGACTGTTCTTTTACTTGACTTGATTCTCAGAAACAGAGAAAAGAGCATTTCTTGAATCTATATGTTTTTTTTCTGACTTTGTTCAAGATGGAGTCCATCTTCTTTCTTAGATTTTGCTCCCAGCAACATTTTTTTTCTCTATTATTAATTTATTTTAGTGTTTTTTTTTTATTTTGAAAGAATATAAGCTTTGCAATTTTCACCTTCTCTTCCCTGGTTTGGTTTGGTTCCTTCCTGCCTTACCCCTTCATTTTAAGATTGGGATCTTAAGATTCGGCACAGAATTTAAGTGTGTCTATCAGGATCCCTCCTTCACCCTGAGGAAATAAGTTTACAATCCTGTTATTTCTGATTTTGTTCTTGGTAGCTGTAATATCTGTCAGAGCATGCCTCATAAGAAGCTTGTACCATTTTATAAACTTGTAATTCTATTTTGCTCCCTCTCTCCCAAGAGATGACTTGCTACCTGTCAATGGGAGAGCTGGCAAGTACTTCTGCTGTGGTGTGGGTTTCAGATCAGATCCCCATCTCCCTGCTTTTGTTCCTTTTAGGGGCTCTCACAGCATCGCAGGGTGATTTCTGAAATGTGTGAATATATGAATATGACAGCTGATGGCATCGATGTGGTTATGCACCTCCAACATTGCCTGTAATGTAATTTTATGTACTGAGCAGGAGACTTGCACCTGAGAACAAACATGCTTGGTGGTTTTAAAAAGAGGATGGAAAGAGAGATAGCTAGGAACTAATTATAATTTTGGCTCATTGGATTTTAAAATTACTGAATCTGTTAAGAGAGTTTCTGTGGTGTGGGAGAGTGGTACTGATTAATAAAATGTTGCAGTCAAACTCCTTATGTAAGTTTCAAGTATAATTTAAAAAGTACCATACTGAGTTACATAATTGAAAAGGAGGAACGCCATAAAAGCTGAAGAATTGGTGTTGTCCCTAGTGTCCGTTATCCTAAGTATCACCATTGTTATATTTTATGTAAGTTATGATTGCACTGGCTTTCCTTCTGCCCGTTTTCCTATCTGTGCTGGTATTAAGGTAGTGGCTCTCGCTGAGCTGTGGTCCAGGTGGTACTCCTGATGTGTGTTCAGCACTAGAAATGTCTGCCCTGGTTTGATGTGCTGGGGTGTGTGCTCGTATTTAGAAATCTATGGATTCCTACAGGACTTTCCATGATTTGAAGGGATTTCCATATCAGTACCAGGTGAAGTCTTCAAAATTGAACTGTAGAGCCGAAGCGCTTGCAACTGATTCTCACCCTCAGGTTTTCTGACCCTGCTGATGGGAGGTTGTTGTTAGAACTGCAGCGTGTTTGTAGGCTGACTGTAAACTGACAGTACAGATTTTTAGCTCTGTGCTGCAGCATTGACAGTGACAGAGGTGGAAGAACATTGTGCAATACTTAAAAACCTTAGTGCCCTTGCCACAGAGGCACGTCAGCTAAAGCTCAGCTGCCGTGTGTCAGGTTTTTGGTGGAGCCAATAAAGGAGCAGAAATCTCATTTCTGCTGGGAATAGAGGAGCAGAAATCCTCTGCATCTTGCAATTTTCACCTTCTCTTCCATGGTTTGGTTTGGTTCCTTCCTGCCTTCCCCCCTTCATTTTAAGATTGGGCTCTTAAGATTTGGCACAGAATTTAAGTGTGTCTATCAGGATCCCTCCTTCACCCTGAGGAAATAAGTTTACAATCCTGTTATTTCTGATTTTGTTCTTGGTAGCTGTAATATCTGTCAGAGCATGCCTCATAAGAAGCTTGTACCATTTTATAAACTTGTAATTCTATTTTGCTCCCTCTCTCCCAAGAGATGACTTGCTACCTGTCAATGGGAGAGCTGGCAAGTACTTCTGCTGTGGTGTGGGTTTCAGATCAGATCCCCATCTCCCTGCTTTTGTTCCTTTTAGGGGCTCTCACAGCATCGCAGGGTGATTTCTGAAATGTGTGAATATATGAATATGACAGCTGATGGCATCGATGTGGTTATGCACCTCCAACATTGCCTGTAATGTAATTTTATGTACTGAGCAGGAGACTTGCACCTGAGAACAAACATGCTTGGTGGTTTTAAAAAGAGGATGGAAAGAGAGATAGCTAGGAACTAATTATAATTTTGGCTCATTGGATTTTAAAATTACTGAATCTGTTAAGAGAGTTTCTGTGGTGTGGGAGAGTGGTACTGATTAATAAAATGTTGCAGTCAAACTCCTTATGTAAGTTTCAAGTATAATTTAAAAAGTACCATACTGAGTTACATAATTGAAAAGGAGGAACGCCATAAAAGCTGAAGAATTGGTGTTGTCCCTAGTGTCCGTTATCCTAAGTATCACCATTGTTATATTTTATGTAAGTTATGATTGCACTGGCTTTCCTTCTGCCCGTTTTCCTATCTGTGCTGGTATTAAGGTAGTGGCTCTCGCTGAGCTGTGGTCCAGGTGGTACTCCTGATGTGTGTTCAGCACTAGAAATGTCTGCCCTGGTTTGATGTGCTGGGGTGTGTGCTCGTATTTAGAAATCTATGGATTCCTACAGGACTTTCCATGATTTGAAGGGATTTCCATATCAGTACCAGGTGAAGTCTTCAAAATTGAGCTGTAGAGCCGAAGCGCTTGCAACTGATTCTCACCCTCAGGTTTTCTGACCCTGCTGATGGGAGGTTGTTGTTAGAACTGCAGCGTGTTTGTAGGCTGACTGTAAACTGACAGTACAGATTTTTAGCTCTGTGCTGCAGCATTGACAGTGACAGAGGTGGAAGAACATTGTGCAATACTTAAAAACCTTAGTGCCCTTGCCACAGAGGCACGTCAGCCAAAGCTCAGCTGCCGTGTGTCAGGTTTTTGGTGGAGCCAATAGAGGAGCAGAAATCCCATCAGTGGGGGTGATGGATTGCCAGGGGACTGGAGCAGGATGGGCAGTGGCTGTGAAAGAAGATGGGTCTGCTTTTGGAAGTCCACATTCAGTATGACAGCCGTTCACTCAAGCTCCTTACAGAATTATGCCTCAGAGTGGTGATGGTGGAAACTATAGTATTTTTAAATAAATTAAAAAAAAAAATATTCTGGGGGCATTTCCATGGATAATGTGTTGTTGGACTTCTACCAAAAGTAACATTCCACTATGCACTTGTAATTTAAGGTGCCCAGGCTATACCAGTATCCATAAATTAAAAAAAAATATTTTGGGGGCATTTCCATGGATAATGTGTTGTTGGACTTCTACTGAAATAACATTCCACTATGCACTTGTAATTTAAGGTGCCTGGGCTATACAAGTGTTTGTAAGTTTAGGATTTGGTTCAGGGGTACTGTAACAGCCATGCCAGACTAGGGGATCTATGAACAACTTACAAATTTCTGTTGTTCCTTACAAGTTAATTTTTTTTAATGACTACGTTTGCTTGAACGTGTTGGAATTCTCCATTTTATTGATAAGAGCTGTAAGTCCTTCTCTGACAAGGTTCAAGGGGGAGTTTTTAACCTGATTAGCTGTTTATTAGTAGTGGGTTAGTAAAAGTTGAGAAGATGGGAGTTTGTTCTGGATATCTCTGCAACAGGCTACAGTCTGAAGAGATTAAAACCACAACAAACCAACCCCCTGTTTTGAAGGAGTGCCATGTGAAGTGGCCAAGAGCCATGCGGTGGGACTTAGCTAAGAAGGAGGAACAGAAGGAGAAAAGAAAGAGCTGGAGGTTTTCATATAGGTCACCAGGATCAGGAAAAGTGCACTGATGCACAGGGTCCTGAGGAGCATCCTGGGCACCTCGAAGAGCATTAAGTCCAAAGCAAATTTCAGAGGGGTCGGACGTGAAGTGAGGTGAATGTACATTTTAACTTTATTACTGTATTTCTTTATTACAGTGGCTACAGTCTGAAGAGATTAAAACCACAACAAACCAACCCCCTGTTTTGAAGGAATGCCATGTAAAGTGGCCAAGAGCCATGTGGTGGGACTTAGCTAGGAAGGAGGAACAGAAGGAGAAAAGAAAGAGCTGGAGGTTTTCATATAGGTCACCAGGATCAGGAAAAGTGCACTGATGCACAGGGTCCTGAGGAGCATCCTGGGCACCTCGAAGAGCATTAAGTCCAAAGCAAATTTCAGAGGGGTCGGACGTGAAGTGAGGTGAATGTACATTTTAACTTTATTACTGTATTTCTTTATTACAGTTCTTTGTCCACTGCCTATTTCTTGTGTTGGCTAACAATAGACTTCAGACACAGCTGAAGTCAAGCCAGACCAAAGAGGTTTAAAAATACACAGTTAGTGAGGCAGGAATGAGTCCAGTGCAGAGCTGGACTTTTACCCTGGCTTTTACTCAGCTCTAGAGCTTGTCACGGGTGGAGGAAATAGCTCTGGTGCAGTTCCAGCCATGGCAGTGTGGCAGGCTGTGAGGGTCACGGAATCATGGAATTGTCAGAGTTGGATGGGACCTTCTAGAGACCATCCAGTCCAACTCCCCTGCCAAAGCAGGGGTGCCCAGAGCACATCACTCAGGACGGCATCCAGGCGGGGTTTGAGGATCTCCAGAGAAGGGGACTCCACAGCCTCCACCAGACTGCTTGACAAGGCCTAGAACATACAATTTGCAGCAACCTGAGCCCACTCTGACGCTGGCAAAGAATTGGGACCTCATGAGCAGAGAGGGGAGTTAGTCTGGCTGGGATAGTGGGAGCATAGTCAAAGCTTATATATTCTTTTTGCCCAGGATTATTGCCTGAATGCACAGTGGAAACTCTCCACTGAGAAAGGAAGATCTCAGGTGGTGGCAGGGACCTTCTGCTAGACCAGGTGAATCATAAGCCTTGCTTATTTTAACCAGTCACCATTTTTTTTGCTGTGGAAGACAGCACTGTACTCTGTGGCTGGAGTGTTTGAATTGTAGTCTCAGATGCTTTGGAATTTGTGCTGTGCTTGTTGTCATTGCATGAGAAGTCCCAGGTTCAGCAAAACACTCCACCTCTGGCCCTTAGTGAAGTTGCCTCATTGCAAAAGCTTTTCTGTGTCTGTCCTCTTTGCAAAATTGCATTTGACTGAAAATAGAGCTTGTTTGGGATATTACAATGCTTGTTTAGATATTACCGTGGGCTGCATTTTCTTCTCCATGTATATTAGTGGCTGGTGTGCATCTTTTTTTAAAGAGTCCCTTTTTCTGTTTCTGCAGGAGTGATAAGCATTTTCAGTAACATTGTTGTGTTGGGCATCTTCGTTAAGTACAAAGAGCTGCGGACGGCAACCAACGCGATTATTATCAACTTGGCTTTTACTGACATTGGTGTCAGTGGCATTGGTTACCCCATGTCTGCTGCCTCAGACCTGCATGGAAGCTGGAAATTCGGACATACGGGATGCCAGGTATTGCAGTTCAGTCTGAGAGAAAGTTCTGAGCGCTTCAAAGCAAACAGAGGAATAAGTAGTAGCCCTATTTGATATTAGTACGTTCAAGAGGTAAGATGGAGATGCAAAAAACTTGACTCTAGACCTGCAGCTGATGTTCTGTAATGTCAACGGTTTCTGGATGTAGGGTTTTGTGTGAATGTCATAATAAACTTTTATTTATAATCTGAAAACATTAAAATGTAACCTTATATATATCAACTAGAGATTTTAAAATAGCTTTAAGGCGGCTTAGGAAATTAAATCCCCAAATGAAAAAGGTTACAGCAGCGCATGCACGTTTGGTGGCTTATTTGATAGTTAAAAGACTTCGGGTCTGGCTGCTGTTTTGATTACGAGCTTGACAGATCTTAGTGAGCTCTGCTTGGAAAATACATGTTCTTTTGGATGGGACTATTAGGTTATCCAAAATGAAGGCTATTGGTCTCTATTAAAGATTTAGCCTAGTTTTTATAACTGTTTTTAAAAATAGACCGACTGAAGAAGTATGCTTCCATAACAGAGAGATGGTGCCCTTCACTCACTGGGTACTGTGATTTAAATCTACTTTTTTAAAAGACTGTTGGGCTTAAGCGCCCAGGAAAATGAGTAGTAATGTGAAGGCATATACTGAAAATGTGACTCAAGGGAAAGATTAGCAACCCTGTACACTGTGGATCTTTATATACACTGTGATTTCAAGCTCAAAGTTCAGTCACAGTTTGGCAGGAAGCCTCACTTTTAACATCTTCGAATCTAGACTGTCTTGCAGTGAGTTGATGTGAAATCTCACTACCCATGCTTTGGGAGGTGAGATCACTTGAAGCACATCTCGTGTCAACCTAAACCAAATGAGTCCTGTGAACTGAGATGGTTGAATGTCACCTGGTTCTATTATAACCGGTGATGGCATGTGGGCTGGCATGGGGCTCTAAATTTCTGGGGTGCTAGTGGCAACACAGCCCTCCCAGTCATCCTTCCTGGCCAGATGTATTTGGATCATGTTGGGATTGCAGCGTATGTCACTCTGTGCAGTTGATCTGACACATGTCAAAATGGGGCCTAACAGGGAAAATCATAGAATCATAGAATGGTTAGAGTTGGAAGGGATCTTACAGATCATCTAGTTCCAACCCCCCTGCCCTGGGCAGGGACACCTCCCACCAGACCAGGTTGCTCCAAGCCCCATCCAGCCTGGCCTTGAACCCCTCCAGGGATGGGGCAGCCACAGCTTCTCTGGGCAACCTGTTCCAGTGTCTCACCATCCTCACAGGAAAGAATTTCTTTCTGGTATCTAATCTAAATCTCCCCTTTTTCAATTTAAAACCATTACCCCTTGTCCTGTCACTGCACTTCCTGACAAAGAGTCCCTCCCCAGCTCTCCTGTAGCTCCCTTCAGATATTGGAAGGCTGATATAAGGTCTCCCCGGAGCCTTCTCTTCTCCAGGCTGAACAACCCCAGCTCTCAAAAATTAGTGTACCATAACTATAAAATAAGTGTAGTGATACAAAAGAGGAAAGAGTGACAATTCATGACCTCACATTTGCTAAAGCCATAACTTTTTTGATTAATCAAATTCTCTTCAGGTTTCTTAAACATATATTGAAAACATGAATTGCCCCCCCACAAACCTCTTTATCTCTGAATCTCAACATTTACTCATTGAATTATGGTGTTTGTTTGCTGCTTAGACTATTGTCTTTAGGATTTCTGATGTGCACACAAGCAGGTTGCTTTTGAAATGTTTAATTTTAAATGAGCCAGCTCCAAATTGCCTGTGTTGAATTATTTCCTCCAGTACCTTGCTTCTGGAAGAGAACACTGGCTGAATGTAATGTATTGTAGTGCCTTCATTTCAGTCCACAAATTTGTGCTTGTACCTTTGAAAGATTTCTCAGAAAGGATTCTATTTGTCTGTTTGTTTGTTTGTTTTAATTTCAGATCTATGCTGCCTTAAATATCTTTTTTGGGATGGCCAGTATTGGTTTGCTTACTGTTGTTGCAGTCGACCGTTATCTGACAATCTGCAGGCCTGATATAGGTACTGTACTTATGGTCAAAAATGGTTCCGTGTTGTGCTTCTGTGAATTACAAATCTAATTGCTTTGTTTTCTCGTGAATGATTCCCTAATTACAGTGCTGGGCATAGTTTGAATTTAGGGCATGATCCTACAGGACTTGGTTAACTAAGTTATCCGGCTGGCATGGATGGTACTGCTCGTGAAAGTGAAAATCTCAGAATTAGGCTGTTATTCTGTTAATAAGGTGTGTTTTGCTGTCTGTTTCCAGTCTGTAGAGGGCCACATCCATATACAGAACCACATGAAAAACCTCTGGTTGTGGGAGGTTTTGGCCAGTGTCAAGCCAGTGTGTGCCTCTAATGTTGTGTTCAACGCAAAAGATGACAACCATTTGTGACTGTGTGTGCTTGGCCACAGGGAGAAGAATGACCACCCGAAGCTATGCCGCTCTGATCCTTGCTGCTTGGATAAATGCTGTCTTTTGGGCTTCCATGCCTACTGTAGGCTGGGCTAGCTATGCTCCGGATCCGACTGGAGCAACGTGCACAGTAAATTGGAGGAAAAATGATGTGTAAGATTCCCCTTCGCCCTTTGTTTTAAATTCTCTGTCTCATTGAAGGCTAAGGTTGTTTAATTCACCACTGTATAAGCATAACTTCTTTCTGAAGTATGAAACCTAATTTATAAAATAAATTTTAAAGCGATAGAAATATATAGAGCAAGTCTAGGAAAAATCACAGGAATTGAGTCATACTTGAAAACTGCAAGACTTATAGTTGCTAATAAAAAAAAATGAAGGCTAAAGAAAATTTTCCTAATTCTTTAAAAGCTTGTTTTACAATTTCATAATCAAATCACAGTATCAAATTCTTTAGTAACTTTTCCTGGATGGCTATTTGTAAGTTCCTGTGTTTTGTTTTTCTGTCTTATCAGGTCCTTTGTTTCCTTCACAATGAGTGTAATTGCTGTTAATTTTGTTGTACCCTTAACAGTCATGTTTTACTGTTATTACAATGTTTCCCGGACAATGAAACAATACGCCAGCAGTAAATGCCTGGAGAGCATCAACGTAGATTGGTCTGACCAAGTAGATGTCACCAAGGTATGGTAAATGAGGGCATATTTTGTTTTAAGCATATTCTTTTGCGTTAAAGTCTTGGGGGCAAAGGAACAGTGCAGCCTTTTAAGCGTTTCTGTTTCTTACATTCCCACCTTTTCCTTTTGTACTAAAATATTAACTGAAATTTAGCCACGGTGAAAACTCTTGGCTTGACTTAAACACTAGATTCTTTACTTTTTAGCCTAATACTCTTTCCAGATGAGTTGCTAGTTTGAAGACTGGGAACAATGTGAATTTTCCTTGCCTCTGCCCTCTGTCATTACATGGAAATGTATCTCAGAGATGTAGCAGGAGGACTTTTTGTGTCTGCAGAGTCCCTAGGCTTGCTGCTAGGTTCACAGATGTATCTGGTCTGAAATGGATTGGTCAGCTCTGATTTGAACCAAAGCATTTCCAAGCTCCCAAGCTGTGTGATTCTGATCCCTTGTTCTTTTCAGTCTGTTGAGCTTATCTCCTTCTTACATAAAGGGTAGCAAACGTGAGTTATGGCATAAAATGATACATCCTGCCTGGAAGGTTGACATTCTTTTAATATATAAAAGTCCTCGAGGAAGCATGAAGTTCACTAGCTCCTTTGATTTTGCGTAAAGATATGATTGGGCATGATAAAAGAATGGGAGAGATTTGGGCAGAAGAGTGTGTACCTATGCTTTTGAATTACTTATCCATGCAAGCTTAAGGGCACTCGGAAAACTTTCTCATTGCTGGATTTTGAAAAATGGTATTTTTACCTCAAAATAATAATTTGAGAATTTTGCCCTTCTGAGGAGCTCCCAGAATGCTTGAAACTGAGGATTCGGTTACAAATTTAGACTCACATGTGTAAAGAAAATGCATTTTTTCTGTTTTGCAGTTGAAGACACTGAGTTATATTTATAAAAAAAAAACACCAAACCATAAAAAAAAAAAAAAACAACCAAGATTGAAGCTTCATAGCTAAGCAGTATAGACACTGAGTTATATTTATAAAAAAAAAACCCACCAAACAATAAAAAAAAACAAACAACCAAGATTGAAGCTTTAGAGCTAAGCAGTAACCTTCTTTGGAATTGGACTGCTTGCTTTTTCACAAGTTAGCATCTTCTAAGCTTTCTACGCACCAAACTGACCTCTAAGTGAAAGGGTTCTTTCTTTGCATTATTGTCAACAGGTGTTCTGTTTTGTATTTAAATAGGAATCCTCTGTGGAGAGAGCCACAGCTTGTACACTGGTTATGCTCTAGAACAGCTCATACAAAGCAGACATTTACTTCTTGTTTCTCATTTTGTTCATCACTGAAAGACTCAATAAGGGTACAGGTAAACAACAGTAGGGAATCCTGTATATACAAAGAGCCCTGCAGTTTTGTTTGGTTTTGTAGTGATTTTGTTTTGTCCTCTTGATTAATTTGGGATTTCCATTCCAGATTCACATCCCAGACAAAAGCCAGAAAATTCTTTCCTGGTTGATTCCTCTCCTGCTCTCCCAGTACCCCCAGTTTGTCGCTGTTCAGTTTGGGCTGTGGCGTGGTGTGTTCTGGGGTGTGAGCCCCAAGATGTCCAGGCTGTTCTCTCTGGCAGGCAGGCAGAGGAGACACAACTGCTCAGATATCTCCTCAGTTTAACGTTTGAACACGGTGATCATGCTTCATTAAACCAAGCAGATGCTTCTGGGTTCTTTAAGTGTATGCACAGAGCCTTTGTGTCCTGCAACATTTACTTCCTTTTATTTAACTATAACATAGTTAAGCCTTACAACATGTTTTTATTAGGTTAGTTGTTTGGCTTAGATTTTTCTCTCTGTTTGTATTTATTGTTTGTAATAGCATCCCAGACGGACCTATTTTCTAGAATCCTCAGCTCATACAAAGCAGACATTTACTTCTTGTTTCTCATTTTGTTCATCACTGAAAGACTCAATAAGGGTACAGGTAAACAACAGTAGGGAATCCTGTATATACAAAGAGCCCTGCAGTTTTGTTTGGTTTTGTAGTGATTTTGTTTTGTCCTCTTGATTAATTTGGGATTTCCATTCCAGATTCACATCCCAGACAAAAGCCAGAAAATTCTTTCCTGGTTGATTCCTCTCCTGCTCTCCCAGTACCCCCAGTTTGTCGCTGTTCAGTTTGGGCTGTGGCGTGGTGTGTTCTGGGGTGTGAGCCCCAAGATGTCCAGGCTGTTCTCTCTGGCAGGCAGGCAGAGGAGACACAACTGCTCAGATATCTCCTCAGTTTAACGTTTGAACACGGTGATCATGCTTCATTAAACCAAGCAGATGCTTCTGGGTTCTTTAAGTGTATGCACAGAGCCTTTGTGTCCTGCAACATTTACTTCCTTTTATTTAACTATAACATAGTTAAGCCTTACAACATGTTTTTATTAGGTTAGTTGTTTGGCTTAGATTTTTCTCTCTGTTTGTATTTATTGTTTGTAATAGCATCCCAGACGGACCTATTTTCTAGAATCCTTCTGCTTGGGCTGTCCAGGACAGCAAAAAGAGGTTACACTGAAACTTCTTTTTCTTGGTGTGTGTCCCAAGTCTATTTTAAAAAGGGATAGGTAATTCTGAAAGAGAGTTTTATTTCTGGGAAGTGGCTTATCATAGTTTCTCTAGCAAGGTCAGAAAGTAGATTTCAGGTTGTTTACACCTGAACAGAAAACAGAGATGGGAAGCAGTCAAACTAGGGTGGTTTATGTAAAAGTTGGTACCTTCTGCGGCTCAGATGATGTTGATTACCTGATCATTTTTAAATGTAGCATTTTCTTTTCTTAGGAATGGATAGCCATCCTCTGGTGGATGTCAGAGTGCAGCTCTTCAGATATATATGATAACAAAACCAATTATACAACTCGGGTATCTTGCGGTTTGAAGGAGGGGATTTGCTGACAGCTTGCAGTGCATTTCCAGCTCTGAAGTGGTGGTCGTAATTCATGTGTGAAATCCTCTCTGGCCATTTAAACTTTTGATGGACAGATTTTACATAATCAGTAGTGCTGACTATGAAGGAAGGTTTTACATAATGAAATAACAGCATGCCAAAATTAACGGCAGTGTGAGGTACTATTAAATCCCCAGAGTGAGATGTTATTAGAACCTGTCAAAATTTGTCAGGTGTGCTTGTTTACAGCTTGTTATGTGGTTCTGGGTATTTTCACACAGGTGCATGCACTTTTGGGGTTAAGTTACGAGGTCTTCATCTTGAGGTAATACTGGTTATGTGCCTGTTGCTCTTGTTTTACAGATGTCTATTGTGATGATTGTAATGTTCTTGGTGGCGTGGTCTCCATATTCTATTGTGTGTTTATGGTCTTCCTTTGGAGACCCAAGGAAAATTTCTCCTGCAATGGCCATCATAGCTCCTCTATTTGCAAAATCTTCCACATTCTATAATCCCTGCATTTATGTAATTGCAAACAAAAAGTAAGTGCTCCTAATTTAGTAGCAGTCTACCTCATGATTTTAGCGTGTCACGTAACTGTAGTGTGATCATCTCTAGCATATGACAAACTGATCTGTGAAGAGATCAAAGCGTAAACTACTGCTGATTTTCCAAAGATGACCTTTTGGACAGGAAGTCTAAAAGAAATTGTCTTGATCATCATTTTTGAGAATGCATTTATGAAGCTTTCGTAAGACAGTTTTGAACGTCCTTTTGTGGTTCCTCAAAGGGGACTCATTATGGAATTTGGGTTACATCAGCAGTACGCTGGTTTTAATGACTGTGACCCAAATGTGTTGTCAACTTAGTGACATGTAACTTCTGTGGATTTCCTCACTTGATTTGGGATGTGTCATATTCTGATTGATTAAGATGGATTGACACTTTTCGTTAAAGTAAATAAGTGTGTTCTTCTGTTTTGAGGAAGCATATCAAATGTTCTAACCAAGCCAGTGCCTCTGACTGGGAACTGGGTTTTGCAAAGAGGCCTTCTTCCTTTCTCTAGAAGCAGAGCCTGTGATTTCAGCCTAGGCAACCTTACTCTGATCCTGCCGAGTCAATGATCTAACCAAGCCAGAGCCTCTGACTGGGAACTGGGTTTTGCAAAGAGGCACTCTTCCTTTCTCTAAAAGCAGAGCCTGTGATTTCAGTCTAGGCAACCTTATTCTGATCCTGCCAAGTCAATGAAAAAACATCCCTTTATTTTTTTTTTTCCCATTCTATAAGTTTATCTTTGTCGTGGCTATACCCTGTCCTGGGGTAAGCTGCTGTCACCCCTGTTAGAGAAGAAACACTGAACTTAATTGACTTATTCCTGTATGTGGAAGTGAAAAAGGCTCAGGTGCTTTTGAATTCCAAATACACCATTTGTTTATTAAGTTAAGTTCTACTAGAATTGAAAACTGCTGTAATACTTAAGGCCAGCTTACCCAGTTTTTCTTTATATTTGGCTCTCCAGCTAATAATCTTTCTGCTTTCCCTTTTTTGTCCTTTACAGGTTTCGGAGGGCAATCCTGGCAATGGTGCGATGTCAGACAAGACAGGAGATAACTATAAACAATGCCTTGCCCATGAGTGTATCTCAAAGTGCACTGACAGCGTAGAACTCATATCATTTGCCTGCACAAGTTACATGGAAAGGAGTGAAATCTGGGTTCAAGTTAATTAATCTTTTGGAAGATTTATCTTTTGGAATAATAATCTGCCCCAGCCAGCCAGCTGTTTTCTGTTAATCTTTTTAGATAGATTAAAAAAGAAAAAAAAGATAAAATCCACTAAGACTTTAGCTTTTGAGAGTGAGGTTTATTGGCCCAACGTGTCTGTCCCAAACAAAAAAAAAGCTAGTGAAGTGTTCACTGTGACTCCTGCAGGGTTGGACAAGGTGACACAGAGGCAGGGAGGGACTGAAGCAGGTAGTGCTTAGGTTCAGTAATGTAGATTTTGGACCTGTTAAGTCCTTTCATGAATTACTTTCCCTCAACTTCCCATGAAATTTTTCCAGAGTTGAAATACTCTGCATTCTGGCTGTGTGAGTGTATTTCTGTACCAAGTGTCCCTGTTGGTATGCCTTGCAGAGTTCTGTTTCTGTGAGTATGTTAAGATATCAAAATATCTAGCCAAACCCTAGAGAACCTGTTACCAGCTTTTAGGATTTTGAAGGAGTTTCAGGATATTTAATGTATTTTTAAAGTTTCGGCTCACACAACCAAATGAATTTGTAGGAAGAACAGCTTTTGTTTTAGAAGTTTCTAGTACTTGTGACTGCTGAAAATGAGACAAAAAGCACCCTAAAGCTTGACCCTTAGGAGGCACATAAAACCGAGTAAATATTTATGGTCATTTGTCATCATTTCGAAGTCAATCTCATGGTTATATAGGTCTGTTGTGTAATTTTTAAAAAATACCTTTGATGATGTGAGCAATGGTTTTATTCAGGATGGAAGAGATGACTGTGTATAGATCTATTTATGAACGGTCGTATATGCACTCTTGATGATTCTCAGAATTTGAGAATAAATATCTTCTATTATGTATGTATGCACCCGAAGTTTGGCTTTGCAGTGTGTAATTTATTTAAAATATATGTAGGGGTTTTTTGGTAAAAAACTGGTTTTACGTGATTTTTTTAAAAGCTCTGAAATCTATTAATCCTATTAATTTGTAATTTTTAGTATTAAAGAAAGCGCCATGCAGTATCCTCATAATTTACTAGATTTCCTTCAGGAACCTTGGAACACTTTATGGACAGTAAATAACGCATTGCCTTTTAGAAGGAGCAAAGAGATATTTGATTACATACTAACCCTGCAAGCTGCATATTAAAATAGCCTTGAACCATGCTGGATATGATTTGAAACAGAGTGTGTTCTTCTGTCGGAATAAAGAATGAGCCGGTTTAACTGATCCCTTTCAGGATACATTTGAAGGTTAAGCAACTACAGATCTCAGCTAATCTGATGTAATCTGCTGTTACTAAATGGATGTCTACGTTCACATACGTAGCACACTGCACACGAGTGCCTAGGAATAAAGTTTTCCAATTTTTTTTTCATATCTGTTCTGCTGAGAGGGAGCCATGTATCTTTTTATTTACTTCTACCTCCTAATGAGCTTTTTTGAAGAAGTGCAGGGCTTTTGTCCTTCACAATGCACTTGCGTTTACCATGGCAGAAGCGATGGCACTGGAACAAGGTACTTATTTTATTATTTGTTATACAAAGCGATTTATAAGGAAAAGGCTTGAAGAAATGAGAAGTAATGTTTGCATAGGTTGCAAATTAGTTTTAGCATGGTTGAATAAAAGGTATATTTTACACTTGTGTTATATGACTAGCGGTGTTTCTGAATAGCAGCAGATGGTGATTATGGCTTTGTACTTAGCAAATAGCTATTCTACTCTAGATCTTCAGTTTTTGCAGAAGGAAATTTCTTCCTGCTCCATGATTTTCCCACTATTGTAATGTCCTTCCTATTTCTACAAAGTAGTTGTCTACTGTGAAGTGATTCTGGTTTACATAAATACAGTAGTTTCTTCTTTCTTTTTAATCTGCAGGAAAATCAGATAATTTTTGGTAGTGAAATTTATTTGAATTTTGATGATCTGGCTATTGTCATGTTAACTTTGGGAAATACTGTTTGTCATTGCGACTTACTGTCACAACCTATCTAGTCTAAAGCTGCATGAGGAGAAAGTAAAATAGAGGAAGAATATAGAGAAAGCAGGACAAAATTAAAGATTTTTTCCCCTTATTGAGGGGAGGGGAGTCTTCAAGCCAACATGGGCAAACAGTGTACCCCAAAGGAATGGAAGCGTGCTGATTCCTGAGAATGCTGACAAATCCCATTTCACTGAAATCAACGGGAGGAGAAAGTTCTTAAAAGCAGGTCATGTCTATGTAGACACTAGAAATAAGGCTAGAAAGCTCTTCTCTAGGTAAATATGCTAACACTTTTGATTTTCAGTCTATTCTGAAATTGTCTATATGTTGTCTATTGTCTGTATAGACAAATACTTTGAATCTTCATCGTGCAGAAAACTAGAAATTACTAGGTAAATATGCTAACACTTTTGATTTTCGGTCTATTCTGGAATTGTCTATATGTTGTCTATTGTATATATAGGCAAATACTTTGAATCTTCATCATGCAGAAAAACTAGAAATTGGTAATCCAGTATTCTGAATTTTAGTGAAACAAGTGACAAGCAGTTCACACTGGAGATTGCCTGTATTATTCCTTATACCGTGGCTTCTGTTTTTCAGTTATCAATAGAATGATGGACAGAAGACAGTGTTTACATGCTTTAGAATAAAGCAAATTAGATTTCATATGAAAGGATCATTGCTAATTTGTATTCTTTTTCTCTTTAGAAGAATCCACATTTGTCTTACTGGTTTTTCAATTCAGAGGGCTGCTCTTGGTCTAAAGTTCTTTATTTTCAATTCAGAGGGCTGCTCTTGGTCTAATGTTCTGCTCATAGAGTTGCAGAAAGTAATAGTATTTGCTTTTAAATCTGAAATACAAATTCCTGAGAAAGAAATGCCAATCTCTCTCTCGTTTATTTGTCTGTTTGTTTGTTTGTTTTTCCCCCTTTGGATGCAAGGTCTGTGCTCTGTAACGATCCTGACATGTATGAGATCCCTGTGAATGTTCCTGTGGATACCGTCAAGCTTCGGATAGAGAAAACCGTCATACGAAGGATTCCAACTGAAGCCTTTTACTATCTAGTAGATCTCAAGTACCTGTGGGTAACTTACAACTGCGTAGCCAACGTTGATATCAGCAGTTTCTATAACTTGAAACAGCTACACGAGCTACGGCTGGATGGTAACCTGCTCTCCACTTTCCCTTGGGAATCGCTGGCGGAGATGCCCAACCTGCGGACCCTTGACTTACACAACAATAAAGTGACCAGCATCCCCGCTGAGGCTGGCAGGTACCTGAGGAACCTCACCTACCTGGACATATCCAGCAACAAGCTCACCACCTTGCCATCGGACTTGATGGACATTTGGCCTCCCTTCTCAGAAGCTGTCCTGCCCAAGAACACAGACATTCTGGCAACCCAGAGAGTCATTTTGGGTACGTTAAACAGCCCGGCTCGTTCCTTATTAGAATATACCTAAATATTAAGATATAAGTGAGAGCAGGTAGGGGACCAGCCTGTGGTTCAGGAGAGTGGGTTTTATCCAGATCAATCTTCTGGTTTTCTCTGTGATTATTTATTTATTTATTTTCTGTTGGTGGCAGAGAACCTTAAAATGAAGATTGACCTCCATGGAGTGACCTCCATGTATATTGTCATCTCAAGGTCATAAAACTGAAAGTAAAATCTATAGGATTCCAGTCTAAAGGAGTACAGGCCACGTGGTATATTCAGTATCCATAAAAATGCAGGACTTCCAAAAATTTTGGTTTTGCTGACGTTTCCCTCCTCACTGCCTGGTTGCAACCACAAGCACGTCCGTTTGCAACTGGTTTTTCCAGTGACACACAAGCCAAACAAGTAGCTAGAGCTGATGCTCGTGTGAAGCCTGTCCTGAGACACAGAGCTCTAGATAGTGGTGGTGGCTTAAAAGAGTCCATCTCTGCTCTCTCCATGATTCCTGTTGACCTTGTGTTGCTCTAAAGCTGACTGATTATCCTGAAGTTTTTCCCAATTTACGTGTTGCTTATGGGAGAGACAATAGGAATCTGATCCCTACAACTCCATAGGTCTTTTTATAGCATTTAAAGTAAGTATTTAAGAATAGTTTGGCCAGAGTCTTCCACAGTTTCAGAAAATGGATGGAACAGCTCTCTCAGTAGCATTCTCTTCTGTTGCTCTCTATGTATAAGTCCATGTCTTGATGGTTTTGTACTGTAGTGCAGCAGGTGAAAGGGAGGAAAAGCAGCTGACTCCCCATAAATTAACTGCAGTAGTTCTATACCCACTGCCAAAGATCTGCCCTGCATTGTACTGCCCAGTATTTCCAATTTCTTGACCTAAACCCCCACTCTCCAGTGGTCATTTTTTTTTTTCACCTGCAGAAGCTGCAATTTGAAACTCTCATTCAGATGAGACTGTATGTAAGTCACTTAATAAATGCAAGTAGGCTGAATGAGTTCCTCACGTAAATGGGAACTGTAGGTTTGCAGCATTAATAGGATCTTTGTTTATTCATTATTAAAATATAATTAAAAAAATGAAAAGAAAAAGCTGTAAAATGAACTCCAGCTCAGTACCCCTTTCCCTGCGCCCACACGGAAGGCTACAGGAGGCAGGAGAGGAGGAGCTAACTGTGCTAGATCTAATCCTCCTGATGATCTCATGTGGGAGTCCCAGAGGTTATTTGCTCTCTTTACCTTAAGTAGCCCTCACCACTTAAAAACCAAAAGAAAGAAAGAAACAAAACAAACACCAAAAAAACCCCAAAACCACGCACGGTCTTCTCTCCTCTTTGTTGGTGCAGGCACTTTACCAGCTTCCTCTAGTCCTGGAAAAAACCCTCTGGTGCCAGCATTGAGTTCTCTAGGGACTTGGATGTGACCTTTGGATCATTTTCATTTATGAACTACAATTGGGTTTGAACACAGATCTCCAGAGGTGAATACACGCTGGGTTCAAACAACACCTTGCTTCTCTTTCTTTTAACGTTACGTGCCGAGGGAGACTCTGTGCAGTGATTATAGTTTTGGATCTGAGAATGCAAAATGCCAGGTAGTATTTTCATTGTATTATCTTGAGTAAATCTACCATAGGTAAGCTGTGAATAATTAGGTGAATTATCTTTCATTGACTTATAGAATCATAGAATGGTTTGGGTTGGAAGGGGCCTTAAAGATCATCAAGTTCCAACCCCCTGCCCTGGACAGGGACACCTCCCACCAGACCAGGTTGCTCAAAGCCTTGACTTCATAGCCTTCTGATGAGTATATCTCAATGCAGACAGACAATGCTTGCTATAGAAGAAATTCTATAGGAAGTAAAACATCCCCTTCCTCTGGAGATTAGAAAGTGAGGTGGTCTTTATGCTGTGGGTTATTTTGACAAGCTTAGTCTCCCCTAAGTGTTAGCTCTATTATCCACAGTACTGGAGCTTCTGAAGTTGTGGTTATGCACAGGCTCATCCTGAGGTTGCCATTGATGGACTGTTGCAAAGCAGTTCTTTTCCAGGAAAGAATGGTTGGTAGAAACTGTTAGGCTAGAAAGATAACCTATGAGTTGAGATGTCTCTATAATGCTCCGGCCATAGGAGATGTTGGCTTAGAACGACAGGAGCAAGATGTGCTCGGTGGCATTGTTTCCTCTCCGACACCCCTCCTGTCTCTGCTGGGATTGCTGGCACCTGAAGGAGTAGAAATGTATCCCATAGATACTCTTCTCCTCCTCTGAGGTGGAGGTGAGAGTCACAGGGGTGTGTGGTCAGGAAGGATTCCCAAAAGGCTTCTAGCCTGCTGGGATGCAGATCTGGATGAACTGAACCGTTCTGGTTAAGTCAGTACTGTTCTTACAGCTTGGAGCCAGATCGTTCCAGAGCCTTCTCTGGTAACCTCTTCCAGTGCTTATCTATCAGGATAGTGAGAAAGTTTCTCTTAATATCTAACCTCAATCTCCCTCACTGCAAACTAAGCTGATTACCTATTGTCCTACATGAGATGGACGTACAGAAACACTAATTACCATCTCTCATAGTAACCTTTCATACATTTTCCTTCCCTGTTTGCCGCGTTAACCAATCGCACCATTTCTTTCAGCACTTTCTTACGAACTGTGAGGCTTGCTTTTTAAAATTTTCTACCATAGTTACTGGTTCCCTTTGGACTCCTTTGTGATTAAAAATAAGAAAGGTTTCTCTTAAAATGTGATGCCCACGATTGCAACCATCGAAGCAGTGCTTGCTGTGATGCTCAGTAGTGTCCTGTGTTCTCCAGCTGTTCTCTGTGCCAGTGTTCCACCCAGTTATGTGCCTACCTGGAACAGCATCTGCAGACAGAGCTCTGCCAGAAGCTGGAACCCTGAGCAAATAAATGCTGGTTTTGTCTGGTGGGGAAAACAGCAGTCAGATTTTACTTAGTGTAAGAAATCATGGCTTGGGCTGGCTTCTCTCCTAGTTCTGGCAAAACAAGATTGTCCCTTGTGTTTAATTAACAAGATCGACAACAGCAAAGCCCCAAACCCAAATGTTTGTGCCTACGTGTTTTTTAACACCAGGAGGCAATTTTGTCTTCAGTGTCTTGATTGAGCATCAAGAAGGTTGCACGTAAGAGAAAGTTCAGGCTCCCTGTGTCTACTTCAAGGACTCTTGGAGGAGCCATGAGGGCTTTTCCCTCATGGACTTTTACCAGGGGACTGGCAGGTTAGCATCTCCTTCTTCCAATTCATAATCTCTGCACTTAGGGGCTCGGGGTTGTTTTTTAAATTACCTCCTACTGGATGATGTTCCTCTGTGTGGACACTATGCTAAACGAAAGGTCAGGGAATGACTCCTGACCCTCTGGGCAAGCGGCTCACTCTGGCTTTCTTTCATCCACACAATTTAGGGCCAGCTCTCTTTAAAGCTGACTGACTGTTCCACACTTTGTAAGATTTATCCCTTGGTTTTCAGCGGGCTCTACGGGATGCTGCAGTGACTCTAAAATGTGACTGTGTGAGTGGGGGTGATTTTTCTTTAGTTCAGGCTGCCTGAAGTAAGGTAAGAGTCGCATCGCAACCCATAGAATTGTGCTTTTTATATATAAAATAGCAAGGCTATGTGGTGTTCCTGAGGGGCTGGTATATAGGGCTGGTATATAGAATCACAGAATCATAGAATAATATGGGGTTGGAAGGGAGCTCTGGAGATCATCCAGTCCAACCCCCTGCCAAAGCAGGGCCACCCAGAGCAGGTCCCACAGGAACCTGTCCAGGAGGGTTTGGAATGTCTCCAGAGAAGGAGACTCCACCACCTCTCTGGGCAGCCTCTTCCAGGGCTCTGCCACCCTCACAGGAAAGAAGTTCCTCCTCATGTTTAGGTGGAACTTCTTATACTCAAGTTTGTGCCCATTTCCTCTTGTCCTGTCACTGGGCACCATCACATGCAGGGTAGTTTGGAGGTGCAAAGCCTGTTGCAGTTATGCTGGGGGAAAGAAGAGGATGGAGACACATGTCCTTGGTGTGGTCTCATCCCTAAGCCCTTCATGGAGCAGTCCCTGGAGTGTGAACTGTCCCTGGAGCCATGCCTGGCTTTGTCTTGGAGGGCGCCCTTTGGAACAGTTCAAAACAAAGCTGCGGAGTGAGCTGACAATTAAGCAGTGGAAATGACTGTGAGACCAGTGTGTGAGTTCATCTGGCCCTTTCTTGGTTGCCTCTGGAGCTATGGCCATATACTTTGCTCCAAATCACAGCTAGGTTTCAGCGTTGGCTGCTGTACAAAGTTGGAAATTTCTGGCGTGAATGATGGCAATAGCATTTTCCGTATGGAAAATTACATCTAGTGAGTCGCTGAGAGGAACAGAGGAATCCAGGATTTGATAGAGTGGCAGTTAGATGAGATCTTGCCTCTGTTGCACATAGAGGTGCCAAAAAATTTGAAATGCTGCAAGTCCCTCAGGCTCCCAGCTGTTACACTGTTATATTGGGTGGATGCTGCTTTTCCTGAACTACTCCCTAGGAATTACTGTGTGTAGGAAACACTGGGACACAGTGAGGGAAGTGGGCTTTACTGTTTAGGACCATGGATGAAAAATTTTGGAGCTTCAGTTGGAAGAGAGCCTTGGGTGTAGGTTGGCCCAAGCTGTAGCGAAGATTTCCATCAGCCCAAAACTTGAGTATTTCACATCCTGCCATTTTACAGCCATTGAAAAGCAATATATTATACAAGTTATGGTCTGAGACTGGTTACTGAGTTACAAAGGAAATTTTGCTCGTAGCTACCTTGAATCCTAAAGTCCATATTGACACAGGTTGGGGAAGCCCTGCTTACCCAGAGACTGCAAAAATGTGCATGCACGGACAGACATAAACATACACTTGCCATTGCTGTTGTACACGCAAGCATACATATAAATATGGGAGAGTAAATTGAAAATATAATAAATCTAGAATAGGGAAAGGTTTTTAGAGCAATTTCTAATCCATATTTAATGTTAAAATACACTCCATTGGTAAATTGCAATGCATAAATATTTAACAACGTTTGTTTTGCCTTCGTTAGTATTTCTTTCTCAGGGCAGGAAGCTGCCTTAATATTTCTACAAAATAATCCAGGGCTTTAAAAGACTTGGTGTTCTATCAGATTTCTCCTCTCTTCAATAGCTAACTGAAGTTTAATCAAATTCAGTGTTTTGTCCTTGCTTCCAACTCAATAGTGCTTTCATCTTTTCATTTTGGGAATTCACATGACTTGATGACTTACAATGGCTGTGCAAGTTTACTAAAAATAATGTGAATACAGCCAGATATTGGCAAGACACAGATAAATAGAAGGTATCAGCCATGGAGGCAAGCAAAGAACTCCTGTATCTGTATACATATTATATGTAAGTCCTGCTTCTTTATCCAGTTCCACTGGGAAGCATGATGGATGGGGGAGATGAGGTCACTAACTGAAATAACTCTTTCTTTGCACTAAAGCACAGAAGTACAGGGTCTTCTGGGAGTTATGGCTTTCTTCTCAAGTGGAAACCAGGCCTTCAGAATGATCTGAGATGGTCAAGCCTGTGTCCCAGACTGGACTGAACAACCATCCAATCTAAGGACTATCCACCTTTGCTTCATCATTCCTTCTGTTTTGTCATTTTCTGATACTTTTTGTTACTTTGGGACACTGGGAGAATATGAAAGCCATCTATTTATATATATGTTACGAAAAATTTCATCACCAAAAGTGTTGTCAGGCACTGGAACTGGCTGCCCAGGGAAGGGATTGAGTCACCACCCCTGGAGATATTTAAAAGAGGTCTAGATGTGGCACTCAGGGACATGGTTTAATGGTGGACTTGGCAGTGTTAGGTTTATGGTTGGACGTGTTGATCTTGAAGGTCTTTTCCAACCTAAATGATTCTATAATTCCATTTGAAAGACCTTTGTGCACTGCTAGCATAATAAAAATAATAATAAACCCCAATATTACAATAATAAACCCCATCCTTTCCTGCAGCAAAGTGTGTAGGCTGCAGAAAGACTGCATAAGAAATATTTGCAGTAGTGTTTGATGTGAGGAAGAACCTGCTGCCTGGTATGTGGGATGGGGGTCCTACTGATGCTGCAGATCTGTCCTGGTTAAGGCTGTGGAGCCACAGTTCCTGCCCTGCCACCAGCTTGTGGCACAGCTGCCCCGTGCTTCTGTCCTCTGGAGAGCAGAGGGCCCATGGTGGGAATTCACATACATTTTAGCAGCTTTTTTTATGGAGGAACTCTGGCAGTTGAGGCCTTGTTTCAAGGGGATCCTGTCTTCCTTCTTATACCTTCGGGGGAATTTAATTTTCAAACACTCAAAGTCTCTTTCTTAACATAGGGAAGAAAATTGACCCATTATAAGCAAGTGAGAATAATAATAAAAAAAAAAATATTACAGGAGTATTGTCTCTATCTCTCTAAGTACAAACTGAAGCTTGCCTAATTTAAAAGATGAGCACAAATAGTTACATACATGTGCTTGACCGGGCAGAATTTTCATGAGCACAAACAGTGGATGTGCTTGGACATAAGGAAAACATCTGGATTATATCTTTTTTCCTTGTAAATATATGTGTGAAGTTCATAGGAAAAATGTTCATATTTTGGAGATTTTTTATTTTTTTTTTTTAACTAAAACCAGTTGCTGATAGAGTTTCCTTGATTTCTCCTTCTCTGTTCCAGCGGGCAATAAGTAGTGAATAGATGTAAAATCTCTTATGTCTGGAAGGGGTGAAATTGGATTGTGATGTCAAAGTCATGGAATCTCTTCAGGTCAAGTCTTGTTTTAAAGAGGGGATTAATTGGGGTTTACTGTAGTTTTAACCAATCACTGCCATTGTGCTTAAAATAACCTAATCTTGGTCAGGCGATGAAAGGAAGCAATAGGTAATTATTCATGTATTGTTTCATCTACAGGTTTCTTCCAGAACAAAACCCAGAATTTTTCCAATAGCTGTTTTGATATTTCCTAAAAATACACACTGAGCACTATTAGCAGGTGCTTCAGGGTATTTTTAATCTTAATTTTTTTTTAATTAATGTGACTTGTCTGTTGCGCTAATTGGTAAATTCAATAGTGATGGATTCTTGCCTACCATCCTTCATTTCAGACTGTAAGTTCTGCTTATTGTTAATACTTGAAAAAAAAAGTATGCCCAAAAGTATAAGTCAAATGAGAAAATGCTTAAACTCATGTGTGATACGATGTGTGGTGTTTTACCTGCTGAAGCTGCTGTAGCTCTGTGGAGGTCAACATCGCAGAGTAATCAAATACCAGCTGAGGATTTAAACTTATATTCCTCAGAAATGGCTACTCTGTTTCACCATAGCAAGTTCACCAAGAGGGAGAAGCCTCTCATTCAAGGAATTTGGAATCAAGAGGCAGGTGTTAGCAGCCTCTAACAGAAGAGGAGAGACAGCATTCTTGTGTGCCATTGTAAAAATCTTGTAGTCATCAGCTTTTTTTTCAGGGTCCTTTGCATTTTCCACTCTTCTGCTATTCTTTTGGAGTGTTATTTCAGAGGTTTTCGTAAATTGAAGCGAGATTTCTAAGAATATTGGTGTAGTTCAGAGCCAGATAAGAATTTTATTGGCCTAAAGCCTCTTCTCCTTAGCTTTTATCCTTTTTTTCAAGGAGCAGAGATATTGGTGTAAGCTCTTAAATTATCTGCAAGCATTGAAAAAAGGCTCAGAGAACATCCAACTGTAAGAGCCCAAAGGAGGACTCAGAGCAGAGGAGAGTGACAGGATGCAATAGCCCTGAGAAGCTATCTTTCCAGAAGTCACGTGCAGGTGAAAATGTATCTTCAGTCTTAAGACATCTTTTCAAAGTGTTTTTTCCTAGATAAATAGCAAAGTTAAGGAAAGGCACTGCCAGCATATCACTATGCTCCTGTAAGCTTCTGTGAAGAAAAAAAGGTTAGCTTAATAAATGCTTATACTGTTCTTCCTCACCTCTGCAAAAACTCCCCTCCCAATCAGCTGAACAAAAAAAGCCAAATGGAAAGAGGAAAAGATGAATGCAGGATCCTTGATTGTACTTGGTGGAAGTCAGGCGTCATGCTGTAATCACAACATCCCTTTGTAGCCTGACAAACATTTTTGTTTTGTTTTGGGATCCTTGATTGTACTTGGTGGAAGTCAGGTGTCATGCTGTAATCACAACATCCCTATGCAGCCTGACAAACAGGTTTGTTTTGGGTTTTTTTCCCCTCTTCCCTCCCTGCTCCAGGTTTGCAGGACAACCCATGGTTTTGCGACTGTCGCATTTCAAAGCTGATTGAATTTTCCAAAATTGTGGACAACTCCCTTGTGCTTCTCGATCCACTGGTCTCGTGTAGCGGACCCGAGAGCCTGGCAGGAATCTTGTTCCAGAGAGCTGAGTTGGAGCAGTGTCTTAAACCCTCCGTGATGACCTCCGCGACCAAAATCACTTCCCCGCTGGGAAGCAACGTCCTGCTGCGCTGCGACGCGACCGGGTACCCCACGCCGCAGCTCACTTGGACTAGGTCAGACAATATACCAGTGAACTATACAGGTATAACTGCTCTTTTATAGGAAATGGGAGAGCCTGAAATTGTCGGGTTGCTTGTGCTTTGAGATCATTAGAATGAGTAACAAAGGGCCACCTATTGCGTCAAGCTGGCCATTTTACCTGGGCAAGAGCTGTTAGCGAAATTCTTTGTCTAGGTCTTGGGTCTGAACAGGTCCAACAGACTGTTCTGACCCTCAGTGTGGTCTGTAATCAAAACAATGTGTGTGGAGGAGGGAAATGGATGAAGTGGGGGAAGGATAAAGGAAAATAGAGCTTGGGATAATTGAGCCCTAACTCAGAAGCTGAAAACCAGAAAGGAGAATTTGTCACTGGAATCTCCATTTTGGTTCCAAATGTTAAACAATCTAGACGGGCCATAACTAAGCCACTTAAAACTTAGCATTGTAAACACAGGATTTTCCAAAATCATGTTTTCTATGTTATTTGCATGTTTATTGTTTATTTGTTACACCCATCTTGAATGGTAAAGAGGCTGTGACTGTCTCACATCATTCTAGTTGCTATGATAGAGATTATGCAGTAACTTAAATATAAAAAATGTTTCTTGCTAGTGCCCAGCGTTATCTTATATTGTAGGTCTGAAGAAGGTAATAGTCCAAAGTACTGAAATATCTTAAAACAAAAGTAATTTCCAAAATTGTTTTAAATGGCTAGTGTGTTCAGTGTCGCTTGAAGTCAGTCAGACTTGTATTTCCCAGTAACTTAGCAGTTCTAAGACATTTGATTTCTCTTTATGTGGTTTTGGTTCACTTAGTGAAACTGCAAATTATGTTGTAATTCCTCCAGACGTTCAATTCCATTCTGACCCAAGCTCAGCCCTTTTCTGCAATAGTGTAAAATGTCAAGGAGTTCTATAGTTTGTGTGTGTGGGGGGGTTGGTTTGTGGTTTTGTTTTTTTTTTTAAGGAATTTAATACATGTGATTCCTTCTGGCAGAAATAACTTAAGGTTAGTAGTCTAATAATGGTTACTTTCACTCCAGCTCACTTTTATAATGTTTTTCTCTTTTTATTTTCCTGTAGTAATTCAAGAAACACCCGGAGAGGGTGTCAGATGGTCCATAATAAGCTTGACAGGGATTTCATACAAGGATGCAGGAGAATACAGGTGTAAAGCCAAGAACTTGGCAGGAATGTCAGAAGCTGCTGTTACCGTCACAGTGGTTGGTGTAGTTACTACAACCGTGTCACCACAGAAGTATGGCAGGAAGCAAGAGGCAGAGAGACAGAATACCACTCAGGAGGAATCCAAGCAGGAACCTGAGAGGACAACCACACCTCTTCCCACCACACCCACCACCACAGCACTGGTTAGCACTGAACGATCAACGAGCATCAGGTTTACTGACAAGAAGCAATCCAGGCTCGTGTTCGATGGGAAGAAAAATTCAAAAGCAGCAACAAATGGAAACAAAAGGCAAACTGGGGAGATAAGCAAGAAAGGTGAGGATACAAAGTCGACTGGGGAGATAAGCAAGAAAGGTGAGGATGCTTCATTGAGTACAGCAAGTACGGCGGAGCAAAATGTTACAGTAAAGAACCTAAGAGTGATCAGTGAAACTGATGAAAGAGTGACCTTAACTTGGAAAACTGTCAACGCCACGGGCAACTCGGCAGTGACTGTGTTATACTCAAAGTATGGTGAGAAAGATATGTTGCCTCTGAGCACCGACTCCAGCAAAAACAAAGTCACAATCGATGGTTTGCAGCCTAGTACTCAATATATGGCGTGTGTCTCACCCAAAGGAGTGCCACCTACGGAAGAGCAGTGCATTATTTTCTCCACTGATAGGTTAAACGATGACAGCAGCTCTCAGTTTTCTATCCTGATATTGGCCAGCAGCGCAGCGTGTGTGGTTGTTTTACCTTTGATATTTTTCTTACTCTATAAAGTTTTAAAACTTCGCGTGAAACCAAAAACTGCAAAGGAAGCTGACCTTGCAAAAGAGACCTATGTGAAATTTGAAACGCTGTCTCTGAAGCCTCGAACAGTGAATGCAGGAGAGCAGCTCTGGGCACGAAGGTACACGGATGAGTCAGAAAGACTTCTCCTCTGTTCTAGGTCAAGCATGGATTCTCAAATGACCTTCAAAAGCGAGGGCTCTAGGTCTGAGTATCTGTGTTGAACGTAGGCGAGGGTGGAGGAAATGGAATATACAACGGGTAAAATCAATCCAAAGTGATGATACTGCATCTGGAAGCAGGTGGCTGTCAGAATATTTATGCAGTCTACTGGATGGGGAGGGTGGTGGGTAGGAGGGAGAACAGAAGGAAGATGTTGCCAGTTTATTTTCTTTTTTTATGTTTGTGACACTGGATGTGAGGGAATGATGTTCCTTAAAAGATGAATACAGCATGAAGTCGTTGCCTGGTTAAAGATCTTATATTTTTTGTTTTCATTAAAACATCATTCTTTTTTCTCTTCTCTTGTTTTACTGTATGATGTGCTAGTTGCATGTATCAAACATTATTCACAACCTTCATAAAACGTATGTACTTAAAAATAATAGGAAAACAGTTTCAACCACTTCTAATGAAGTCAAAACTTTATCTGAAGATACAAGTTTTCTTCTGACACCAGCTTGTGCTTTGAGATGTCATACAACTCTGTTTGTACAGTATCTTGGGCTGGAAGTGATCTCAGGCCAATGAAGACTGAAGCTAGGTAGCCACAGCTTATGGACTCTTGAGAGGTACAATACACATATTGTCATTTTGCAGATGCTATGGCAAACGAGCATTTTCAGTATTCTGAAGCTCAGGTGAGATATCATTATGAGTAACTTCGTGAGAGATACTAGATATTAATAATGTTAATTTACATCAAATGATCTTATTGCAAAATCTCAGCCTTAGAACTTACTTGGATGCATATGTCTATATACCTCAATTTCAGAAATCTCTACAAAAGATTTTGTGGTATGGTGTAATACAACACACTTTCTTCTATACCTATATATTACATAGATATTGCACAATACTGTGTACTACAGTGTAGTAATACAATACATTTTGAGATACTGTAAGAGAAGGTCTTGTCCTCAGGTCATGTTGGATGTGTGATGAAGTTCATTGAGCACAGTGGAGGTTAATTGTAAGCATGCTTCCCAGTTTTTAAAAAATCAGGTATTAATATTGCTAGTAATGATGAAGGTAGAATTGCCTACTAATGATAATAATGAATTGTCTATTCTGAGGCTGCTTTTTTATTGCCTGAAGTAAACAACAGAGCTCTTATTGTTTTAATTTCAGATACTGTGGTTAAGAGTATGTATGAATTGAGAACCACAGTCTTTTCCTAAAAATTACAACTGAGTTATTTTCTTGGACCTTTCTACGCGTAGGAGAACTGTTTACTTTACTAGGAAATTGGGAATCTTCTCTTTCCAGAGGGAGAAATTTTACTCAAAGCTGCAAACCAAAGCTTAGTTAGTTAACTTTAAAATAGTAGCATTTCTTGGTGTCACTAGTGTGGTTAAAAAGCACTTTTTTTTCCATGGATAATTTTGATTGCAGTAAAAATGTTTTTAGTTTTCTGAGCGGAATATTTTTACTTTGTCTTTTTTTTTAATTTGTAATTTTTTTAGGGAAAGCAGATTCTCTTTGTGTCAAAACCGAGGTTCATCTGACAAGCAGTTCATGATAAACTACATTCTTAGCAGGACCTGAAGTGTTATGATGTTTGCCTTCTATTTCCCATATAGACGGTGTAGCCAGTAGTTGTTGCTGGAAGTGTTTCCAATTAAAAACACTACATTTGTAGCAACTATTTTAACTATTTTTTTTAAATTCCTGGAGAATATTTGATATTTCAGGTTTGAAAGCTTTGCAAGAAACTTGAATCTAATTCTGGAGCCCAGAAGTGCTATTCCCTGACTTATAGATGATACATCAATAAATCAGACTGAGGGGGTGCAAAGCTCGTTTGAGAGAGCTCACTTGCACATTTGGTTTAACTAATCCTTGTGAAATTAGCATGTCCTAAAGTTACAAATTAATCTCTATGACCATGCGTGCTATCAGTATATCAAAGATGTAATGTATTTTAAAGGGCAAGTTTTTTCAAGAAAACATGAGACATTATTTTTTCCAGAGCTTTTGAGACAACAAGAGTTGTAGAACCCAGAGGCTTCTGTACCTCATGTCAAAACAGCAAATTTGCTGGGGAATTCTGATAGGAATTTGATACAAAGGCCAAATCACACAATAAAGACGTGCCCTGCATCCCCCAGGATTGGTTTAATTAAAGAGCTGAAGAAATACTTCCGGTAACGGATGCAAATTTTTATACTGTAAATCGTTAATATTAATGATAGAAACATTGAGATAGACTTTGTCGCCCATAATCAATTTGTGTAATATCTTCTGAAACGCAATACTGAATCATTCATCACTATGAACAGTGATGACTGTCATCTATGCTTGCCTGGTAGGAGAATTTGAGAGGATTTAACCAATGTTTATGCATCATCGCCTTTTATATATTTTGCACTTTGTTAGGTCCATTCATCCTGCATTTCACCAAGAAGGTTAGACCTCTTTTTATTCACTACCTACAACGGGGGTGTCAAAATTGGATGGTTAATGAAATAACTGAGTAATGTGGGCTGAATTCCAAATAGACCTAATTTTTCCTTAAAGCTTCAATGGACCTCAGCACTTGTCACAGTTAACCACAATCCTGGCTTCAATGTGCACTTACTGAGCCAAACTTTAGGCTTCCATGTATCTATTTTAGTCCTTGCCATTGCTCACAGTGGACATGGTATTCACAGAATCATTCAGGTTGGATGAGACCCTTGGGATCATCGAGTCCAACCATCAACCCTACTCTACAAAGTTCTCCCCTACACCATATCCCCCAACACCACATCTAAACGACTCTTAAACACATCCAGGGATAGTGACTCCACCACCTCCTTGGGCAGCCTATTCCAGTGTCAACACTCTTTCTGTGAAAAATTGTTTCCTCATGTCCAGTCTAAACCTAACCTGTTGCAGCTTGAAGCCATTCCCTCTTGTTCTATCACTTCTATCATATCTGTCTATTCCTTGCCCTGTCATCAGTCTCATACTTTCCTCAGGTGGGGGATTAAGAGAGAAAACTCTTTTGTGTGTACCGTGAAAATGTCTGCAATAGCAAAAACATTCCGTTTTGAGCTATATCTAAGGGGTTAAACAAAGGACATTTTAAACTTGTTACCTTTTCAAAGAAGCAATTAAAATGGAAGTTGTTTTGATGTGAAAATAAAAGATTGTTTTTTATACATGACCATGCGTTTGCCTGACCCTTTCATCTTTGGTTAGAGCTATAGACAATTATGCGGTGAGTATAGCTGTGGGGACAAAAGGAAATCTGAGAAAAAATAAGAGAAAAAAATTCAAAAAACGGGAGATTAGGGGCCTGGAGCATCTGTCTTATGAGAAGAGGCTGAGGGACTTGGGTCTCTTTAGTCTAGAGAAGGCTGAGGAGGGATCTGATCAATGCTTATAAACACTTAAAGGGAGGGTGTCAAGAGGATGGGGCTGGTCTTTTTTCAGTGGTGCCCAGGGACAGGACAAGAGGAAATGGGCACAAACTGGAATAGAAGAAGTTCCACCTAAACATGAGGAGTTCTCCCTCATATTTGAGTGGAACTTCCCATGGTCCAGCTTGGGCCCGTTGCCCCTCGTCCTGTTGTCCCGATGAAAGTCATGAGGGCCTTTTGAAGAACATTGCCCTCTGAAGGGGAAAGGGGAGAGTGCGCAGTTTATGAATTTATTGGAAGTAAGAGGGGCGTGCATCAGTAGAGATTCTGGCTAGGGTGTGAATCCCACACATATCACAATAGTCCATCATTGGCCTCACTGGAGGCGGCGGCCAGGCCCGAGGCGAGGCCCGGATGTCCCCCCTCACCGCCCCAGCCGGAAGCCCGCGACAGCCAATCAGACGGCGGAGGGGGCGTAGCCAGGTGTCACGTGGACTTTAGAGGCGGGAAGAGCAGGCACGCGCTCGGCCGGCGGAGCGCGGCGCGTGGCTGTGGCGGAGCGCGGCGGGTGAGTGTGAGGGGAGGCACGCGGGGGCGGGGGGGGCTGGAAAGGAACCTTCCAGAGCTAGTCTGCACGGGGTCTGCAGGCACAGTCCAAAGGAATAAAGCCACCCAAACTGACTGAGCAGGTGGAGGTTCCAGGAGAGGCAGAGGATCCCCTGCCCTCTTGTCCCCAGGCAGAAGGAGGAGAGGATGGGGGGCAATGGAAGCAGGGACTCGCTCGGGGCAGCAGGAGACTCCCCTCCAGACCTTTCCCACCTTCCCAGGTGCCTGCACAGAACAGGTATGGGCCTCTGGAGATAGAGGATGAGGGGATGGAGGATGCTGATAAAGCCCCATCCAGGGAGCTGCTGAAGCAGCCAGCTCCGTGTATTAAGGCTGCTTCTGTGAGGAGCAGGAGGAGGGCAATAGTTCTAGGTGGTTCCATTCTGAGGGGAACTGAGTGTCCCATGTGCCGTCTGGACCCTTCCCAGAGGGAGGTCTGCTGCCTCCCTGGGGCCTGTGTCAGGGATAGAACCATTCCTGGCCTGATACGGCCCTCAGATTATTATCCTCTTTTGATCTTACAGGTAGTCAATGATGAGTTAAAAGTCTGAGGGCAACGAAGAAAGATTTCAGGGCTTTGGGATGATTTGTCAAGGGTTGAGGAGCACAAATTGTGTTCTCCTCTGTCCCTCCGGTTTTGGGGACTGATGAATGGGTAAACAAGAAGACCAGACAGATCAATGCCTGGCTCCAAACTGGTGCTACCAGCAGGGCTTTGGGTTCTCTGACCATAGTTTGATTTACAGGACACTGGGTCTGCTTGTAAAGGATGGGAAAACCTTATCCTGAAAGGGGATAAGGGTACTAGGCCAAGAGTTAGCAAGGCTCATGGGCAGGGCTTTAAACTAGAAGTGAAGGGGAAGGGGATAAAACCAGGCCCGCTAGTAACGAGCCTGGGGGTAAAAGGCCAAGGATGGCAACTCCAGAAAGGTCTGAGCATGGTCAGGTGGGAATTAGGGCTTGTCCTGTTGTCTGTTGGTTCCCCCCTCCCCCCCCCTCCCGAGTGGCAGAACAATTAGCCCAGCTGAAATGCATCTACACTAATGCATGTAGCACAGGCAACAAACAGGAGCAGCTGGAGGCCATTGTATAGCAGGAAACCTATGATGTAGTTGCCTTCACAGAAATGTGGTGGGAAGACTCACACAACTGGAGTGCTGTGATGGAGGGCTACCAACTTTTCAGAAGGGATAGGCAAGGAAGGAGAGGTGGTGGGGTGGCCTTCTATGTTAGGGACAGATTTGAATGCCTAGAACTTAACAGTGTGAATGACAGTGTTGAGTGTTTGTGGGTAAGAATCAAGAGGAAGGCCAGTCAGGCAGAGATCATGGTGGGAGTTTGTTACAGACCCACCAACCAGGGTGTAGGTGGGAGTTTGTTACAGACCCCCCAACCAGGGTGTAGAGGTTGATGAAATATTCTATGAGCAGCTGGCAGAGGTCTCTCGATTGCTTGTTTTTCAGCCATGGAAGCTTCTGGCTAGCACTGTTGCTTTCCTTTGTTGAAAGTGAGAAAGTTTGCAATAGAATAGATGCTTTCTGTTTTCTTTTTAAATCACTGAAAAAATTTTCCTCTGAATTTCAGAAGATCAAAATTCACATCAGAATGGAAGCATGATTAATGTGGGATTTTTTTTAGAAACTATTTTTTTATAAATCTGAAAGGCTCCCTTGCTAAACAGTGGCAAAATCAAGCTGAAATATCAGTCTGAAACAGGCTATACTAAGGAGAGAGTTCTTTTTACAAAGCTGTGTACATTATTCATCAGTGTTCAGGATAGGAATCTTTTTAATCAGTAAGGCAGAAAGCAACTATGAACAAAAGGATATCATCTTTCCCAAGATCTAAGTAAAAAAGATGTAGTTTTTCCGAGTTTCTGTTTTTTAGGAAATAACACCCTAGCCTTGTGTTTAGAAAAGAATGTGAAATTGCTCTAATTATTGCAGCAAGTTCAGTAGCTAGCACCTGTCAGGTATGTATTTTAAGTATAGTTGATCTAACTTAAGGTCTGGTATTTTTGAAAGACACTTGATTGGCTTAAGAATGTTATGGAAGGAGTTGACTGTACGAAGTACTGTAACTTTAACCTCTCATGATAGTGGAATACCACTTTACCAACAATGTGTGAAATACTACATTTTGGAGATGATATTCTGACAAGAAAATACTACTTCTAAAACGCAATGAGTAGTCAAATACTTGGCACATATTTTTAAGGTGTAGTTAAAGGACTTTGGTAATGATGTGGAGGTTTGGTTTTGTTTTGTTGTCTATGGAACTAAGGTGACTGAGAGAGGACTCAGTGAAATACTTCCTGTCCAGAGAAGGCTGAAATGGAATGTGGTTTCTTTTTTGTTCTCTCTTAATACAAAAGAAAGGAGCTTAATGTATGTGTGTATTGAGGGCAAGAATATAGAGTTTTCCAGTGTTGCCTCAGGCAGAGTTCAAGTAGTTTCTCCTGAGGCCTCTGGTTCAGGCTGCTGGTACTTGAGACGTGCTACTGGACTAGATGGAAAGTAAGAACAATCCAAAATGACAATTACTAGTAGATTCAGTGCAACTCTAATTTAAATTAAATTAGGTGCTTGTTCAGTTGTCAACTCAATGAAAGCTTTGTTGATATATTTTTACTTTTTTCATTCATTTAGACATATAGTTGTAGGAAGCCTTTAGAGTCCTCAAACAGCTGTTTCTCTAAACCTTCAAAGAGTAGATTCATAAACAGATCTTCGTATTCCTATTTAACTCTTTCTCACTCATTTTTTACAGTTTAATAGTGTTTTGGAAAACAGGAACAAAATAATATGTATAGTCTGCCTTGTACTATTTTCTAGTCTCTAAAACAATTACACCTTTGTCAAAGAATAAGGAAATGAAATCCAATACCCATAAGTACCTTTTTTTGTAAAAACCTGATTTAATTAGTGACGCTGAAGTCTAATGCCAGGGCCTGATCGGATCGACTTCTGAGTCATGTGTCTTGAATTTTATGTTGCTAAGATTTGGCCAAACATTTGAGCATTCAAAAGTAACTTGTACTAGTTATATTTTTTTGTTTGTTTGTTTCACAGCCCAATCCATTGTGTTTAAGATCATGTGGAAGTTAAATCACAGAGGGAGAAAGAGGACAATATAAGAGTATGGTAAGCAGCCAGCTATACAGCATGGCAAATTAAATTCAGAATAATATTACTTTCTCTTTTAATGTTACTGTTCTCTTTTCTCTGCCTTTTAAATTTTATCCTTACTTGACTTTGGTTAGAGCCTTCTTCTATGTTAGACTAATCTTGAAGCATACTGCTAGCTTCAGATTACATGTGAATGACATTATCCATGGGTAGTTTTCCAGAGCATGTTCTCAGGTCTTGAGTGACCTGTTCTGATTTCTCAATGATTGGTTTAAAATACAAAAATATTTGATATTTCTTGTTCTCTAGCATGAAAGTGACATGGTGTTGTGACTTCCTGCAGAAGCAGGAGTGTGAAAACAGGAATCATAACACTTCTGCTTGTTCTGCATTTGCATTGCATCAGTATCCACAAAAACACTCAATTCCTGGGGTTCAGAGTTCAGCTTAAAATCTGAGCAAGATATTTTTTAGTAGAAGATTGCCCTAAATTAATTCTCAACATCAGGAAAGAATCTCTCTATGATGGCAGAGGCATATTTTCATGCACAAAAGTGCTGTTTATTTGTTCCTTAGCTTGCTTGAGCATTCTATACTCTTAGAGGAGCAGACATTCCCTTTGGATAGGGTAATCAGCAGCAGAAACAATGCAAGCCACGTTTTTCACAAGCCAGAAAAATAA